GGGAGAGACCCCTACAGTGTAGTACCATTCCGAACCCTTATACAGTATGATTGTGGTGATGAAGGTGCTCCCGGGATTACAACGGCATGATTTCCCTTTTTTCCCTGCGAGGTGTAGCCAAGAGACAAGTTGTAGCTGCGGCTAGGCTGTGTTCGTTTGCAAGTTTTTGGACATGACTGCGGCCCCGGTTCAGACCCGGTGACTCAGACGAATCTGCAGAGTCACACACGATTCACGAACCATGGTAAACAGCAAAAGCAAAACAAAAGTAGGGTCACAGGCTAGGTTAAAGCAGGGAGTCGTCTAAATACCCCGTGACTCCCTGCTGCAGTGGTGGAAAGCATTCAATGTCCCTTTGAACTAAAGGTTCAAGATTTCGATGCTCGGGCTGGTCCTTTTTCGTCTCGGCCTGGAATCACGCATACATTTATGTACATGTCCATATACTGCCGGTACACGTATCTCTTTCTTTGCCAAGTAACTTGGTTAGTTAGTCAGACTTCTCATTATTTCTGTAGAATAATACCGGAGTGTTCTGTAGCCGCCGCTAGCATTGCATTACCTTTTGGCTATCGGTCCGGTGTCCATGACCGGCCGCACATGCCAATGACACCAACCCAGCTCACGTTAACGCGGCATAGTACCCACACACACAGGTACATGGGTAAGTCATCGTCTCCAGCACACAGTGCCAGAAAATAAGGATCGAGTAGACTCGGATCAAGACGACTGCACGCGCTGACGACACAGATTACAAAGTAGATCTACAATGACTGTGTACATATTTCCTTGTCTCCAGATGTGCAGGTCTTTCGGTTTCAGCTTTCGCTCTCCTCACACTACATGTAGTACAATCATGTACTAGTAGTAGTAGTAGCACTACGCTGGAAAAAACCATGAAACAAAAGCCTGAGAGTGTGAAAACTGAAAAGGCATGCAACACGACCATGTTTCAAGTGTCCAGACCATGGCAGCTTCGACAGTTCAAAGATCCAGACCAGGACTTCTCACTGAAGTCTGAACATGAAGGATCATGGGAGTCGCGACGTCAGGCCCCATGCGTACCTCCAGCTAAGAAGAAGGTGTTTTCCTTCTGTCTGGTGTTGCGCCCCACAATGTAGGCCCGATCCACATAAAACAGGATTTCTGAAAGAAGGCGCCAAGATCGTCTGTCATGAAGGAGGGAATCTGTACACGTCACGGTTCCAGCCTTCACTCTTCCAAGAATGCTTGGACGTTTGGCATGGCCATGCAGTCTTTAGGGTAGCCTATCGTCTTCCACAGAACAATGCACTGTCTGCCGCCCAACGAATATGTGCGTAACTGCATGGTTGGTTTCGTCACCACACTCCACACTACCACAGCCAAACTCTTGTCTTCTCCCACGCAATTCGAGATGATAGGCTACCAGTACACCTGGGGGCTGGACGCGATCTCCAGTACTCTACAGACTGAACGGTGAACGCGACATGAAAATCTGAATCGGGCAAGACCGACATACGGCGACAATGGCAATGGAAAATGAATGGCGATAAAACAAACGGCTGACCGCCATTGTCCGTGTACCAGTGGTGTACCCGGGACGCATCTCAAACGATGACAGTGAAACACTGTACGGGACGTGGATAATAACAATAATAATGATTGTTTCCGTCATTTGCCATCAACCTCGGTGCAGGTCTAGTCTAGAGTAGAGCCTCGAAGTAGCGTTAGCTGCAGTCAAACACTGTCTGTTTATGATTTTGTGTTTTCCAACACTGTCGCAGTGTCGGTAAAAGACAGTGATGCTGTAGAATATGTCTATGGCCAGTAATATGGGTCGTCTGGATCCGCCGCAAACTTACTTGCAGACATGCATTGACAGAGCAATGACACGTCCCATCCCTGTGGATCACTGCCATTGACAGCCATTCGAGCAGGCCGAGATGCACTACAGTAGCATGCTCCCATTGTGGGGGGCACTGTACCAGTTTGTATTTTGTATTCTCCACAGGCTAGGCCAGGCCTTATATTAGCCTAAAATCTAAATCGAGGGAGTCTCCGTCAACAGCAGTTGCGTGTTGCTGCCCCTTGATCTAGACTACAGACAGACCCAGTGTACATAATGGACACACCATTGTACTTGACCATGCTGCACGAGTATGAATAATTTTAAAAGTATGATGGCCCGGATGGGCATCCCCTTTCACTTCTCTTTTCACCATGGTCCATCATCTGTACTGGAGTGCACTGTGTCAATACCGGTGGTAGTACATGTAGTAGTACTAGTAGTAGTAGTGTTGCACATCATGGCACTTCTTCTTCTTCTGACCTTAGCCTAGGTCCAGCTGACGACCTAGGCTATAGCTATAATTATGCGCTAGTGTTCAAAGGGCCAAAATAATAAATTATAATAAATAGATTATTCCCATGTCACCAAGGTTTGGTCTAGGTCACATGGAAATACAGAAGTTTTGAGGCTAAGTTTATTTGGTTCAGTGATTGGTTTGAATCAAGTTTTCACTTTATCTTTCTCTTTCTATGGTGGGTTTATTTCTTCGTTTTTGTTCCCAGTTACGAACCCTTTTTATCGAACTTACCAACCAATTCAGTGGGCAACCGAACCGCCGGCACAAGGCCTAGCTGGCCCTAGTTGGGTTGCCCAATTGGTACAATAAAAACTCTTGGTACAAAAAACCTTTTGAAACTTCTTCTTCTTGGTCCTTGCCCTTGGCCCGCTTGGGCTTTGCGTGGAGCTACACATGTCGATGTCATACAATGAGTACATGAGTGCTGTCCATGGACTGCTACCAAGACTGCACTGGTGCCCCGACAAGTACAATCATACTCATTGTAGATGATAAGACTCCCTGGCCCTGCCGATGGCCTGCGACTCGAGTACTCCTATGTCCTACGTGTGCTGCGGACTCGCGGTACATCCACAAAATGAAAAGGACGAAGTAAGTTGAAGTACATCTTGACGATGTAGTTGAACGCTTTTGAAGAACATAACCGTTCCAGGTGCGAACAAGAAATTAATCTCGCATGCAGAGTGGACGACATTTACATAATTGTACAGATTTTCAGTAGCAGAATCGCACCGCTGTGGCCGGTTTTCGATGCCAGTTTTCCAAGCGCTACAGTATAACTATTACCTAATGCAACGACGTTCAACCGTTGGGAGACGGCTGGCAAGCGCGACTCTGCCAGATAACGATACAGAACGGCAACCGGCCAGGTGCTGGATTGGAGCAGAGACCAAACTATGACGTTCCACCTCTGGTTTTCCTACACCAATTCAACAGACACACACAGCTACTGCCCTCTAAAGGCAACGGAGCACAGAGTGAATGCCAACACACAAAAGCCGTCTGACGTTGTGTGAGGGTGCAGCACGTACATCTACCGGCGGGTGTGACGAGAAACCTACGGAACACAATGCAACTACCCGATCCCGCGCTGTTGGAGAACAAATCGATACTCACAGTGCTACACGAAGCAGTCAACACTTGAATGTTTTCCCACTGAATCTGGCTTGGGTTTTTTCTGAGCCTTCTATGATAATTATAGCGCTGTCGTTGCCCTTGGCCGGGGTTTGGGAGAAAATCCGTATCCCGAGAGCGCCGATCGCGTTATACAAAAATGCACCCTCAGCGGCCTCACACGATCGAAGGCATTACAAAAATTTAATGTAATGATGGCGATGAGGCTGTTGTTGGGAAACCCGGCCATAACTAGAGCTGGGCTTGGGAGGAAACTGAGTGAAGTCATTCTTGCACCAGACCCAGACCTTTCGACTGTGCTGACCTGAGCTTGCTCTACCGTTCTAGAAAGACCCGTGGCCAAGTAGGTAGAAACGGTAATACTCGCACTTCTATTTCATTACAATGCTCGCGATAATCGTCATCAATGCTAGATCACCATGATCAAGAACTACCTAGAATAAGATCACCGCAACTGTACGTGTATAATCTCCTTGCACCGCTGCACCGGGCCACACGAATACGGATGCTATACCACTTGCACTTGTACTTGTACTTGTAGGATAGATTATTTTTCAGCTTGTTTTTCAGTTTGTTGATGATCTTGGCAATCTGAAAAAGAAAGAAAAATCGAGCACAACGAACTGCACTGTGCACACGTCTGCATGACTTTGTAGATTTATCATGTACAATGTAGATCGGGCTACTATTTTTCACATTGTGATTTTTGTACTATTTCCATCGCCATAATAACAATTATAATAATTATTATTATTGGCAAGCCCGCCCGTTTGCCTTGCGATGTTGGATAGAACAAACAAACAGCAACGGCCACAACAACAACAACACAGACGCTGCGCACTCCAGACAGATCTCTGTCTGAAAAGTAAAGAAACGTTGGGGGTAAGAATGTAGTGCGAAGTGAAGGTGCAATGTACGCATGCAGGGTGGATCGACTGCGCCGATCGAAGTGTAGATCTGCACCAGGGAGTCAGTCATACGATTACCATGATTACGACTCCCTGATCTGTGTCATGTAGATCTACAATCTACTGTCTGTAGAGTGTACTGCGGCTTCGCGAAAAGGTGCTGTTGCCGTCGAGGCGAGATTTCACGTCGCTTTCCCGCCACTTCTTCGCGCCGCGCGCGCGCGCGCAGATCTAGCGGCTGCCGTCCGTTTGGTAGTCTTTGTGTTGGGAGTTGTCTCAAAAAGGCGCGCGGAATTGATGAGTGACGTAAATCACTGCATGCCACACGTGATGACCGCTCACAGCACGCGTGCAGCGTGGGCCTGCAGTGCTAGCCGCGCCGCTCTAGTATAGTACAGTAGTAGTACTTCGCTACATACAGACTCAGTGTAGTCGCTGTTGTACATTCATGGACTTGGTACAATCATGTCAAGTCTCAACGGCTCAAGCAGGAAACATGGCTCCATACTTGGAATGCATGCCCCGTTCAAATGTCAAGCTCAGTCGAGTGGACGTCGACTTGGAGCTCAGCCAAATCCAAGCAGTATTCTAGACCATACCTCTGGCGGTATCTTGGCGGGCTGCTCAGTCTTGAAGAGAACAGTTTCGTAGCTGAGGAACTTCAGTGCAGGAGGTCGCTTTGTTGCTGTTAGCTCTGCCGTGCGAGTCGAAGTTGTTGTCCGCTTCCTCGTTTATCCCGTTCTGGATTCGGTCTCGTTCGCGTCTGCTCTTGGTCCTAACACGGTATGTAGCATGTCAAACCCATTCCGCGGGAAATCAGAGGATCTTGAAATCCATGGATGCGCATACGGGCAGTAGTGCTGGACTTTTTTTGTTTGCATGCGTACGTGCGGTCTGTGGTGGTTGGTAGGCAGAGGTGTGAGGTTTTAAGCGCCAGTTTCACCTGGATCTGTTTGTCACGTCTCCCCTTTGCTGGTGCGATGGCATGTCTTTCTGTTTGGTGTCTGTTTATCCTTCACAGACCTGGATCTAGAGACGGAGTGGATTTGGCAGCAGCAGCTAGCTCCGGCGAGGTGACGAATTGCATTCGTAGTTTAGAAGCACCAACAGCTCGAGTTCTCTCAGTTGTTCCCTAAACTTGGCGAGCAAAGGTTGTAAACTCGAGTAGCGGTCAAGATGAGTGAACCAGGACAAGGTCGTTTCGATGACCTGGACCCTAATGGAGATATTGTGCTGGCTGGTCCAGTTCGCAAAGACAAGGTGAGCATTTTTGGTGCTTTCGGTTCGAATGAGTACGGGCCGCATACAGCTTACATACATAGGTGCTGTATGTACAGGGCTTGGATTGGTGCTGCATTTGACCTCGTGTTGCTCCTGGCTGTGATGTCCAATACCCAACGTTGCTTGACAGCTAGTTGTCTCATTGTGGTAGAGATCTATTTCGTACTGTGTCGGCGACTTTGCAATGGCAGTAGTGGCGCTGCTTTGCCTTTATTCAGTTGGTGCCAACCAGTATGCGTAGGTGTGGGTCCGCATATATGTTATTAGTATTACCAGGTGTGTCGGCAGTTGTCGTTGTATCCGCGTTTCCCGAAGCCCCAAGACATTTTCATTGGATAATGGCTTCTTGTATTGTGCAGGGCATTGGTCGATTTTACGCCCGCGTAGTCTTCCACCTAGTATTCAAAGAAGTTTGGCTATGGAGAGAGGCAAGACTTCAGGCGCTAGAACTCGCATTGGAATACAAATAATTCCGAAAGCGCGCTGGATTGAAAATGTTCTACATAATTGTTAACTAGATTTTCTTTCATCTGGAAGCTGGATTTTCTTTCGTGTCTAGCGTCATGCGAATTTCCCGGGCTTTCTTCCTTGAAACTGATGTTGAGTAGAAATTCTATGAGGAGCGGGGCGCCTCCTTGGATTTCACTTTGTGAATGGCGTAGTTTCTCCGTGTGAGTATCATAAGTTGTGGTTGTTAGCAGGGTCGTTCGCTCTGCGGCAGTTCAGTTCGTTGTGTATCCGACGCTGTGTAGGTGTTGCAGTCAATACCGCAGCCGTCTGGTCTGTTCTGTTGCGATTGTTCGGCCCCAGGACCGACATGTCATTCTCGTGGGTGCTGTACGCTGTTGTCTGCTTGGCTCCGGTTTGGACTAACACTTTGCCAAGTACGAAGCCGAACTGACTGACAGTCTGTGCGGGCAGACCTGGTTGTTTGCAGCTCAGCGTATGGCTGTCTTTTCTCGGGAAAGAATAGTCCTACACACTAATTATTAGTGTGTAGGTTCTCTGTGGCGATGTTGTGTTGCAATGTAGACATCCAACATCTCAGGGATGTGTTGCGAGGGTCGTGCCATGCATGTATTTGCGTCGAACACGGGGAAATTCGCCACAGCTGGGAAGGGTGCCAGCTTGCTTCGGGTATTTTTGGCTTTTGGACAGATTCCAGCTCGTACCCCGGTAGTGACTGTCCCGCAAGTCAGTGCACTGCGAACACGGGGTTCGTTTTCGCAACTTCTCCTGTTCGTGATAGCCAAGCGTAACTTGGTTATTCCGCGCTTTTCCCCTTCCGAGGTAGACGGGATGCCCGCAGCTGTTAGTTGTAAAGTGTGTAGCTTTGTAGAAGCGCTTCGATTCTACCCCTTCTGTCTTGTCCAGGAAGTCCTTCCACTGCTTTCTCGCAGTGTATTCGTTTTGGGGACGCCTGTTAGAGTATGCTTCTGGCATAGTACATGTCAAATAGCGATATGCTTTGTCGGCTGCTTCCTGCTGCCCCTGTCGTCGGTCTCTCAGTGAAGGCCCATCAGGTTAGGGGACGTTTTCCAAAGTGCCGCTGTCGACTTGGCCGAAAATCTGCTCTTCTCCCCTGTCTTAGCAGCCTCTGATGTGGCAGTGTTTGAGAGGGTTCGGAGGTCGGCACTCCGCAGTGCCAAAGAGAAATTCTCCTCATCCATGATATTTCGTTGAATGCGCGCAACTTACTCCCGCATCGGTGCAGAACCGTTGTCCCGCTTGGCAGCACGCCGTGGCCGAACAGTGATTGCTCATAATGCTGCCTTAGAAATTTCTCTCCGTGCTTGCGCTGCTGTCAGCTGCCTGATCTGAACAATACACCTCTGAAATGATTCCTTCCGGCCGCTCCGCCGAGTACCACGCGACTTTCTCGCATCGAAGCAGGAAAGTCAGAGGAAGGAATTCTGTTGGAGTATGATAGCGTTCCACCCTGGCATGCTCTAGCTCTGGCTGTATGGTTGATCGCCATGCCCATTGCGTGGAGCTGCTGGAAAATAAAAGCGCCTCATTTGGGCGGTGTGCTTGTGCGTGTACTGTAGAATAGTGGGCTAGCTCGTTTGAGTCTTTTTGTAGAGGGATTTTGACGTCTGGCTTCTACGCACCCACCGCCCCTATCACACTTTGTACCTCTAGACTTGTGATCACACAATCACTGTCTCTCGGTCGACATCATCCACACAAACATGATGGCATGACTCGTCTGTTCCTGGCACTCACTCTGGCGGTGCACACACATCGGCGGACTTTTAGTTCCATGTTGACAACCAGCACGTCGACTCGCCTGGTCGCAGGAAGTACCCTGATCGTGTTGCCAGGCGATGCTTGGCTGCCAGTTTTCGCCGTGTTTTATGAACTCATCACGGCGGGTGCATGTATTGTTCGAAACTTCAAACTCGTGACTACACAACACTGATTCAGCATGAGTAGAGAGAAATAATTCCTGCGGATGAGTAGCAGTGAGGTGGAAACGGTCGATGTAGTTGTGTCTATAATTCCACGTCCCAGCTCACATGTGATAGGTGTCTCACTGCATAATTGTATGGTGCGTACATAGTGGTTCTGTTCCAAGGAATGCGAGCTGTTATCTGTAATAACAGTACCAAGCAGGTGGTGTGCTTGAGCCGGAACAACTGCAAGGTTTTTTGGCACTCTGTCAGAGCGCTTTAGGCTGGGAAAGAAGCCAAGATGTGATACACACTATTCCTCAGCATATACATAATAGCTTTTACAGGAGCATTAGTGTGTTGTTCAAAGCCGCAAGGGAGTGGTAGTGAGGCAGCAAAACTTCCAAACATTCCTCTGCCCTGGTTCTGGTTGGTCTTGGTCCTGGTGTTGTGTTGTGGTGGTGGTGAGGTGGCGTTGGGGTTTCACACCTCTCCTGTGTGACCAGGGCAATGGCAAGAATTTAGGATGGGCTGGGGTGGACAATGGACACGCACTCACACTTTACCTGTGCTTGTGAGTGTGTCTACTAGTATCCAGAGTGCAGTGTCAGGCTGCTGGGCATTTGGGAGCACTGGTTGCCCAAAGTAGTTGGCAGCACTGCACTTTTTCAGATGCACTGCTTTTGCTCTGGATGCTGGGAAGTTGGATTGAAAGTCTTCACATTTTTGCCTATTTATAATTTAGGCCAGGGTTCCCAGGCATAACCTGGTGTGTGTGCAGTGCAGGCACTGCCACATGTACTGGCAAGGGTGGGCCATTGCGCAGCACATGATTATTGGTGTGTAGGTGCTGTGTGTGTGTGGTGTGGGTAGGCTGTGAGATGTGTTTGATGGTGGAGTCTGAAGAGGTCCACTTGGCCTATCCTATTGAGCTACATAATGCAGAGTCTGTGATGCATGCGGAGACTTCTGAAAGGCAAATGAATAGGCTGAGATTCATAGGTGATAAGAGTTGTTTTCAGTTCAGCTGTGGGAGCAAGTACATCATGTGTCAGATTTGGAGTCCTGGGCGTACAAGTCTGCCATTCATTCAGCCCTTTGGTAGTCTGGAGAGGTTGTTCACTCACAGACTTGGGTGGTTGCAGGACTCTTGAAGTTTCTGTTGGTAACTTTGCGGTGTGGTTGTCATTGCATAGCAGTTGTGGTTTGGGGTCAGTGGTTGCTATTACAGTTACATCAACATACCATGGTGTGATGTTGGTAGAAGATAGCACATCTCTCTCTCTCTCTCTCTCTCTCTCTCTCTCTCTCTCTCTCTCTCTCTCTCTCTCTCTCTCTCTCTCTCTCTCTCTCTCTCTCTCTCTCTCTCTCTCTCTCTCTCTCTCTCTCTCTCTCTCTCTCTCTCTCTCTCTCTCTCTCTCTCTCTCTCTCTCTCTCTCTCTCTCTCTCTCTCTCTCTCTCTCTCTCTGCACACTTGTGCAAGGGGATTTTACTCAGTCTTTCACAGGTTGTGCTGATTATGAGATACAGTATTTGAGTATTGCTGGCTGGAAACCTTATTTGTCTGCATGTGAATGTGTGTGTGTAAGCTGCTTAGCATAGTATGTCATTGAGTAGTACTCAGCCTTGGCACGTGCCACTTGACAAGGAGCATTCCAGGCATTTGTTACTATGTCTTGGTGAATATCTCTAGGCCTTTGACTTGTACATGAGCTGATATTGGCCGGTTGGCATGACTTGCCAGTTTCCGTCTGTGTACTTTCAGCAGCTGTCCCAGTTACCTTCAGTAGAGTTAGGTCGGTCAGCTGATGCATGTGCAAGCCTATGCCACTCTGTGTTGTGGTGATCTGGATGCTTCTAAAACTGAGTGTGTGGGCTGATAGTGTGATGTGCCAAGTCTGCAGAGCGTGGCAGTGGTCAATGTGCTCAGGAATCTGTTACTGGTCATCATGATCAGGTCTTTATCCGCCTTGGTGCTTGCTAAACATGGCCAGCTTGCCTTATTTACAGCCCTATCCTGGCATGTTGAGCCACGTTGGACCAACCCGCACTGATTACTTGGCACATGCACCCTCCTTTCCAGCAAACTAACTTACCTGCAATGTTCCCTACAATCTGTGTGGCACTGTGGGACGGGGGATTTGGTCTAGGGCAGGCTTGTCGTTCTGTTAGTTCACAAGAATTCCTTGCACAGTGCAATTGGATTGGATCCATGGTCCAGGTGGGATCGGATACAGGGTGGCTGCACTTTGGCCTATGCTTGGGCACTGTAGCAGGTGGGGACGTTCACGTGATGACACATCTAGAAAGAATGTGCCTGGAATGCTGGGAGGAAAGACCTCCACAAAGTAGAAGGATGCTGCTGTTGTGGTCCCTGCCAATATCCGGGACAATGGCCAAAAAGTGAATAACACATACATGTTATGTGTGTTTCTTATGTTCTCACAGAGTAAGAGTGAGAGATCTACTGTATTGTGGGCTAACCTGAACATACATACATACATACATAGTAGTCCCAAACTAGGATGCCGCTGCTGTTGTGGCCCCTGCCACGATCCCGGACTGTGGCCTAAACATACGGCTTCTGTGCGTGTGTGTTTCTGATGTTCCCACAGACTAAGACTGAGCGATTCGCTGTGCTGTGGGCTAACCCGTTGTCGGGCGCAGGCTTCCCAAGATTCGAGGTGTACGCCGATGAGAAGTCGTTTCTCAAGAAGAAGACCCCGAAGACCAAGATTCCCATCAAGGACATCGAGAGCTGCGAGAGGACGGAGCCCAGTAGCTCGCCGAATTCCAGAGACCTGCACCGGTTCGTGATCAAGTTCCACAACGGCGATCAGTTCTTCTATAGCTGCTCATCGTTGGATCACCAGACGGCTTGGTGCAGCTGGATTCAGGAGTTTGTCACCGGCATTCCCGATGTGGGCAAGCACGGATATAGTGAGTACAAGTGTGTTGCCTGTAGTGCGGTGCTCTTCTGTGTGCGTGTGTGTTGTGCATGTCAGCTACGCGAGTGTGGGCTTCTATTACGGCGGTCTGCAGCTAAACACGAATGGTGTATCGCATGAACCCACTGCGCTCTGTTTTCCCTTGAGCTCGTACTACTCCTACTACGGTCTGAAACTAGCATGGATGGTGCAGCGCATGAACTCAATGCGCTCTGTTTTTCTTGTTGCCTCCGCTGTGCCACTGTAGTCGAGAGCTTTCCCAACCTGAAAATCATGCTTTCCCCTTGAGTTTCACACGGTTATGCTTCTCCCACGGTCTGAAACTACATGAAGCTTGACCGTTTGGTGTAGCGCATGAACTCACTGTGCTCTGTTCTTGTTGCTGTTCATTGTGCCGCTTGCCTGCAGTCAAGAGCTTTCCTAACGTGAAGATCGTGCCGCTCAACCTGGCGCAGAAGATTGATCTGGCTGCGGAGGTGCCGGTGCCGTGCACGCTTGCGTTCAGCCCCACCGACGTGGGTGTGTTCCTGCCCATGCGACACAAGCCACGCTTCGTGGTGCAGGTGCGCCTGCTCCGCTCAGCGGGCTACAGCGGCAGCCTGATGCACTTCCAGTGCGGGCGGCGCACCACCTGCGGCGAGGGCTTCATGTTCTTCGAGTCGCAGAGCGAGTACGAGGCCAAGCTGATGAAGGACGCGCTGTATGAGTAAGTCCGTCTTATTTTCTTGCGGTCAATTTTTTCTTCACACTTTTCCCTGTTTCCATTCCATCAACCTATGAATATTCTCTTGGATAGCATGACTGTGTACACGAGTTCCTCTCTGCTATAGCCTGGGGTGTAGAGTTGGCTCGTCATCAATCCACACCGGGTGCCACGCAGGCGAGCTTTCTTGGATCAATGCTCTATAGTCCATGCTCACTACATGTTCATCTGGTGTGTTCTTCTTCACTCTTGTTTCTGCTTGTAGGGAGATGAGCCGGGGTGTTACGAGTGAGTCACCGCCGGCGAACAATGGCCCGTCACCACGCTCACACCAGTACCCGATCAACATACCGGCAAACAGCACCAGCATGGCGTACGCCATCACCAACAACGCCCGGCCCAAGCAGCCGATTCCCGACATGGCCGCCAGCGTTTCTCCGCCGAACGGCAGCCTACCGAACGGCAGTCTCCCCAATGGTAGCCTTCCGAACGGTCACTCCCTTCCGAACGGTCACTCGCTGCCGCGCAGCCTGAGTGAGAACCCGGGCATGGTGGCGACGCCGAACAGCAGGGAGGGATCGCTTCGCATGACGTCGCACCGGCCTCGCGCCACGGCCGTATCCACAGCCTCCTCGGCCTCGCACTTCCCTCGCCAGAACTCCGAGCCGGCAACGGCGGGCGCGAGCAGCAGCAGCTTCAGTCGGCAGCACTCGCTGCGCGGGACCTCGCTGAGCTACGGCTCCGAAACGGACGGCTTTATGTCGCCGTCGAACCGTAAGCTCTCAGTGTACGAGGACATGCAGTCGCCGTGGCAGCAGCGCCTGTCCGGCACCGACCTGCATCGCAGCATGTCCAATGGCCACGGTCATAGGCACAGCCACGGCCACGGCGGGGAGGACACTTATGAGGACATGCAGCCGGTGTCGCACAGCCGAACAAACTCTACGGTGAGCGACGTCTCAGGCAGCTCTCACCACGACAGCGGCATGGAGGAGATGGACGGGCGCATGCGTGCGGCGTCGATCGACTCGCACCACTCCAGCCGCGTCATCCCGGACGGCCTGGCGGACAGCTCCGTCCCAATGCAGCCGGGCCTGTACACAAACAAGTCGGTCATGGAGAACATCACGTCGCCCAGCGACATGAACTACGTGAACTTCGAGCCGGTGCGCAGCCAGCGGTCGAGTCGCAACAAGCACCTGGAGGTGAAACGGAACGGACGCGCCGATCGCGAGTACGAGAACCTCTGGGTGGTCGTCAACAACCCGGAGCAGGAGGAGCAGCAGCGGCGGCATCCTCCTCTTCCCCCTCAGGTGTCCGGCCCAATGGCAATCCCCGGTAAGCCGAGCGGTGGCCGCAATTCGCTGGGCCACATCCCACTCTCCGTCAGCGGCGGTGGTGGTGACCTGGAGGCGTCTGGCTCGTGGAACAACCAGGCGCACTCCCTGGCCGAGTATCCCTGTCGGCATAGCGCGCCAAGGTCGTCGTTCACCGCCGAGCACGACATGTTTCCCATGGACGATACCAGTCCACCGCCGCCGCAGCTGCCCAGCCGCGTTCCGCCGCCGTCGTCGATGATGCGCTCGTAGCCGCGCTGCTCGTTGCATTGCGCTCGAGGTAAGCACTGAGCTAGCTCCTCTGTCCAACGTGATTGTTGCCGTGCTTGCGGAGTGGTGTGAAAAGCTCTATGTGAGTAGATTAATAGCTCTGATTTGTGTCTTAGTTATTGTGATGATGGCAGAAGGTCGGAAATTTGGTCCAGATGAATAACATTCGCCAAAGGCTGAAACTGATGTTTATTGCGCATACACACATACTGTTGCGTGCACGGCCCGGTTTTGTTCGTGTCCTTGTGACTAACCACTTGCGTTCTTCTCTGTGTGCTGCTTCTTGCCGTGCAGCGCTCTTCAAACTTTGTAACCCTGGATCGTTCTATCTGAGTACCTACACTCTGAAATCCCCCTCCGTGCTATAACGCTGAACAATGTTGATGTCAAGTATTACAAGAATGTGACAGTTACTACCCAGCAGCTCCCCTGCGACTCCAGGCGTACTGCTCGCCGTACACTGGTGTACTGGCGTGAAACATCCAGGCAGCAGCCACACAGCCTCTCTGTACTACAGGGGGAGTGTTTCGTGGAGACGCTTTAAAAAAATCAGTTCTAACCGTGGTGACGCCATCATCCCAGTGCCCCCTCCCGTGCTATAAAACTATATACATAATTATATATATATCTATAATTATTCCCATGCCAGGACGCCTACATTGGCACTGCACCTTGCGCCGATATCGTGATGAACGCCTTCAGCTCTTCCGATGCCGCTCTGTGTGCCAATGTGTGTGGGTGGGTGCTCCTGGCCAGCTTGAATCTCACAAACTGTCGACTTTATTGCCAGTAATCTTTATGACGCGTCGCTCCTCAAGGCTGTTTGATACTATTGTTGATCCCCTCCCAGTCCCAGCCGGCATTTACCGCTCAGCATCATAACATGCATAAGTAAGCCGGGGACCAGCTCACGAAAACCAATTTTGAGAAGTTCTTTTCAGCGTCCCCCCTTCCCCGCGAAAGCATAGTAATATATTATTCCTCCGCTAGCGCCTCATCACAGCGGATGACCTTCAAGCAGATTTCCCGTGCGGCCTGATCCCAGCCTATTGATTGACATTCCACTTGCGCTATATCTACTGTTGACTACACAGGGCTTGTAGCTGCATTCATTTCTCGGCCAACGTTTGCTTACACTGTACATTTCCGACTGTGCCCCTCCACACGCACACACACACGCACGCACGCACACACACTCTCTCGAAGTCTGTCTATATCGGTTGTGTTGTGTTTTTTTTTATCGAGTTTCCATTGGACACAGTCTCTTCTCCCTCTTAGCCGGTCAGTCATGCTGCTGCTGCTGCTGCAGGTTCTTACCTTGCCCTTCCCACTTCTCTGGTCTCTCTCCTCACTCGACAGTGCCAATGGTCAACGTTCTGTGCCCCTTAACGCCCTTTACTTCGTTTTGCCGCACCGCGTTTCGCCCCCCCCTTGGTTTTCCAGTCTCTGTTTCTGGTGTGCCTCGTTCGCGTGGCAAATCTGTGTACATCATGATAGCAATGCGGTAAACGAAAATCTCTCTCCATGTCTCTTTCATCTACATCTCTCTCTACCGCACACACTGTGTTTCTGTCATCTTTGTTTCTTCGTAGTCTTTGCTGCTTTTCTGCCCAACTTGCTGTTAGTTGGCTTTCTCTCTTTTATCAGTGCAGACTTGCAGACTACTTGCAGACTTGGTCTTTTTGAGCTCTTGATCCAGCCCTTGCTTTTATTACGCTGTGTCCACTGACTTGTTTATAGTGCTGTGTATTCCAACGTTGAGTGCTATTTGTACTATTTTGTGCAGGATATAATAGTAGCTGTTTAAAAGCCCTTATAAATAACTGTCTTTGCTCTCTGTGTGTGTTGTGTGGCATGGACGGCCTGGAAGCTCCATTACCCTTACTGGTAATGTCGGGGTAAGGATAAACAGTGGAGTAAAACGGTGCAACGAAAATGCAGGGTACACTTTGAACGTCGTCCAACCTGTGGCAACAAAACTTACAAAAGGCTAAGCGCTTGACCTTTGATGACGCTTTCAACCAGGGAGTAGTACTGTAAAAGCAGAAATCTTTCGGTAACTTTGGTGCCGATATTTTTACCGAAAATGAAACACACCGAACATTTCGGTACAGTACTCGATCTACTCGTACATGTACGCTTACCTGGAAAACGGGTTTACCGAAATTTCCCTCCACCGAACTGCGATTTTGGAGAATACCGAAAATATTACCCCACCAACAATTTCTGCTTTTACAGTACCGTACCTACTGTAGCTATTGCAGTACTCCCTGCTTTCAACCACCCTAACCACCCACCCCTAACTAAGCGCAGTGCGTGCCGTGAAAAGGGAACGGCATGAAAAGTTGAAGACTGAAGCAGAACATGTACTAGTATTCAAATTATCTCCAAACATTGAAGAAGAAATGAAAGGTGGAGATCTCATGGTTTGTAGGAAGGGCCTGCACCACTCACCGAATGCCATGAGCACGACTCCAAAAATTACAAAATGCTGGACTAACTTACAGCTTTTCAACACTAGTCCATATGGACTAAATTTTCAACCAGGCAAACTCACCTTCTTGGAGTTGGACGATTCGCACCGCCGTACAGTTGATTCCCCCCCCCCCCCCCCCCCCCGCATCGCTTCCCAGGCAGTGGTTTCTCAGCAAAGGGCGAGTAGATCAATTCAAAGTTTCCCCGGGAGAGGTCAATGTGGTTCCAGCACTACCAACCAGTGAAACAGGGACACGTACAGTACACGGTACTTTACAACTCCCTTGCTACTAACATCAGGCGGTGGTGGTGCGAACGCGCCTCTTCTTTATCCACGAGGCTGGGTTTCATTAGCGACCACTATAATTATCATCATCATTCTACAAACAGCACTGGCACAAGGTCACAGTCTAGTTGCTGTGCAGCAGCATAAGATAATACAACACTATAATAATCATAGCTCTCAGTCCGAGAATCACTCTGCTAAGCAAGATGACTAAAGCATGCCCGACACTGCTTATAGATGATCAGTTCCACGCATACTGTAGTGTCTTGTGTGACAAGCAACTGCATGTCTCATATACTGTAAAAGCAGAAATGTTTGGTGGTGCCATTTTTCGGTATTCTCCAAAATCGGCGGTTCGGTGGTTCACTTCCAGGTAAGTGTTCTAGTACTGTACCGACATTTTCGGTGTGTTTTGTTTTAGGTAAAAATTGTCGGTACCAAAGTTACCGAAAACAAAACACCACCGGAAATTTCTGCTTTTACAGTACATGTACATGTAGAACTTTTCAGAAGGCTGTTTTGAATACAAGCCTGAGTATGTAGATACACTGTTGGCACTTAAGCCTGGTTTTAGTGTTGACATACACTACCTGGTTTGAATACAAGCTCGAGTGGAATAGAAGCCTAGCCCTGCCATCAGCTCCTACAGGAATACGCCCGGCTTTCATGCACGCCATTACGCCACACACAAAGAAACACAGATGAACAATACGGTATTATACCATACATGTACAGTGAAAACCTGTCCAAGCTGACCACTCAAGCCAGAAACCTTTAAAGAAATGTGTCGTAGCCGCAGTGGACTGGTCTTCTGGGACAGGTGGTCGCCGTTTACAGGTTTTACTTTACAATACTGTACAACACGTTATCTTTGGTGGAACTTAAATTTCGGTATTTTTGGTACAGTACCCAGGAAATCTAGATTGCACCTAAGCGTATGCACTGCATGCGAAGGGAATGCTGGTCACCTAATTCTACATCACACCTGGAGCCTGGCAGGTCCCGGACACCGACATTTTAATACAGTCAGACCTCGCTTAACCGCACACATCCGTTTTCCACACAAATGTCCGGATAGGCGAGGGAACTGGATAATCGGACACACACACACATACTGTATGTATGCATGGCATATGCTGTAAATCGGTAACCAACGGTTTTCTTCCGGATGGCGAGGGATCCGGATAAAAGAGGACCGGATAAGCGAGGTCTGACTGTACACCGAAAATTACATGTTATACAGTAGTACAAAGGCAGAAAGAGAACAGAGACAACCGGCTAGGCAATTGTTGTAACGCTGCGTTTGATGCACCTAGCAAGGCTAAGGCAATCCGGAGACAATTGAGGACTGACCTACAGTAGTACAATCATGTTGCTCACCTGAAGGGAATGCTGTATACGCCACATGCATGCAGCAACTGAGCACAGCTTTGCAGCAGGTAGTAGCAGTAGTCAGACAGAGCCATCGAGCGGTAATCCACACGTTGCAAAGGTAAATGGTAGCTGATGCAAGAGTGAAGCCTCTTTGCTTGTCCCTGGTGAGTTTCCTTTGTCCTGTAACAACAGACATCATCGCGCACAACCGACAAGGCAGACTTCACGCAGCACATAACGTTAGCATCGCGCCAGGGCACACTAGCTGGCTGATGAAAACGCACACACACACACACACACACACACACGCACACAAACACACGGACGCACGCACGCAAACACACACACGCACACAAACACACGGACGCACGCAAACACACACACACACACACACGCACGCTCACAATCAAGCACTAGCAAGTCATCGCAAGCGTTTGTTCAGTTCACAGAACAGCAACGGTGTTGGCACGGGTCTGGAATCTATTTAACCGCCATAATTCAAAATACAATTTAGTGTTCAGAATAGTGCGGAGTGTAAGTTAAACCTACCTTACCATAAAAATCATGTACAAAAGCCAAGTAATAGGCGGCGAGCTAATTACTCAGTGAAATACAGCCCACATTTGGGAAATCTGAAGCTCATACACATAATTTAGAAAAGCGATCCTGTCAGCTTTTCTATTATTGTTAATTATGTATACACATGAAAGGCTTTCTGAGCAAGGTGCAGAAAGGTGCAGAGCTAACTAATCGCACGGGCAGACAGAAATGGCAAGCAGTACTGCGTGTGTGCGCCGCAGCGAACACACGACAGCGCACAATCAGGTTCGGACCAGCGGTAGCGCAGGGGCCCGTACAATCAGCGCACGGGTCTGGGTAAGAGGTCCAGCTAATGTAGCGCGTATGTACAGAAATTCAACCAGCAATATCGGGCAACAACACACACTTTATATCGAAAACAAAATTTGATAGTACTTGGACTTCCAGTCAGTCTGCTTTCCTCATGCAGCTCTGCCACCATGCCACTCAACAAACTGGCTCCCTTCTATCGCCTAGAGAGGGATGGCTCAGAGCGATGCAGCAGTATAAGTGGTGACATTTGTTGGAGCTGTCCACGGTGTCGCTACCGATAAGTCTCAGGCGGGTAAGAAGCTTGGGCCGTCCGAGATCGCACGCACACACGCACGCACGCGCACGCACACACACAAACACACACAAGGCCAACGTGTATGTGCGATGCTCCTCTCAAGATGTGAGTGACGAGTGCAGGTGGCACAAAAGGCCAGCGGTCACTAAAACACACCTAAAGGTGAAGCCGAACTCCTGGCGCTACAGCAGTCAACAACCATATGGTCCGCAGAGCTGACCAACCAACGCATCAGCCGCGAACGATGACAATCACGCTTCATCGTCCTTGTCCTCTTCCTTGCTGTCGAGATTAACGGTGAACTCCCAGCGTTGCGTGTACTGCTGGCTGTCGCAGCGCTCCATCGTGATGGTGTTGTCGCGCGAGTCCATACAGAGCTGTGTGCCGCCGTGCTGCAGCGTCTTGTCGTCGCGATGCACCCACGTGCCCGTGTCCGGACTCTGGCCGCCCTGGCAGCCCTCCAGCACCACCGCGGTGCCGGCCGTGCGCGCGTTCACCGCCAGGCACATGTCATGGTTGCGGATCTGGTGCTGCCGCGTCAGCGCAAACTCCTGATTGCCGCCGGACGTGTGACACTGATACAAGCCCAGGCCCTGCGCGGCCGTGTGACCCAGCGTGTCCAGACACTGCGTGCCTTGACGCAGCTGGCCGAACGACACGTCCGAGCTGTCCGGGATCTCCAGGCTCGGGTACACCGTCTCCAGGTACCAGCCAAACGACTTGCAGTTCAGGGTCTTGCGCAGCTGCCGGCGCTCCTTAAGGCTGCCGACGGGCGTGTTGCGGGCGCCAGGCCGTGCGGCGTAGTAGAAGCGCTTGTACTTGTCCATCCAGACCTCAGCCGCGCGCCGCGTGTTCTTCATGTACGTGACGCCGTTGCCCTTGGGAAAGGAGTACGGGTGGCGCTTGCGGAACACGTGGCCCACGCGCGAGCAGGGGATGATCTCGAGACGGCCGCCGCACTGCCACGTGCGGAAGCTGATCTCGAAGTTCTCGCCGCCCCAGATGTCCATGTTGCCATCGTAGCTGCCGCTCTTGTAGAACCAGTCACGGTTGGTGGTGAACAGGCCGCCGGCGATCATCGGCGTGGCGATCGAGTCGATCGGCGTCTTGCGCGATGTCTTCTGCTGCTGCGTCAGCGGGTCCCACTTGAAGCGCATGCTCCAGTCGAATCCACCCTGTGAAACACACACACACGTCACAAAAGCATACAACAGCAGCATGAGTATGGACATGGACAGTAGCAGCAGCAGCATTAGCAGCAACAACAGCAGCAGCAGCATTAGCAGCAACAACAGCAGCAGCATTAGCAGCAACAACAGCTTATCCTTCAATTTTGCTGTTCAACTTTTGTTCAAGTTTTGAATGTTTTGCTCTCCTTGCATTATATCAGCATTGGTTTGTGCGTTCAATAAAACACCTTTTAGTAGTAGCAGCAGCATTAGCAGGAGCAACAGCATCAGCAGCATCAGGAGCAACAACAGCATCAGCAGCAACAGCAGCAACAACGGCATTAGCAGCATCAGCAGCAACAACAGCATTAGCAGCAGCACCAGCACCAGCAGCACCAGCAGCAACAACAGCATTAGCAGCATCAGCATCAGCAGCAGCAACAGCAGCAACAGCATCAGCAGCATCAGCAGCAACAGCAGCAACAGCAGCAACAGCATCAGCAGCAACAACAGCATTAGCAATAGCAGCAGCAGCAGCAGCAGTAGGAACAGCAGCAACATCAGCAGCAGCAGCAACAACAGCATTAGCAGCAACAGCATTAGCAATAGCATCAGCATCAGCAGCAGCAGCAGCAGGAACAGTACCAACATCAGCAGCATGAGCAGCAACAACAGCATCAGCAGGAGCAGTAGCAATATCAGCAGCATGAGCAGCAACATCAGCATCAGCATCAGCAGGAGCAGTAGCAACATCAACAGCAGCAGCAGCAACACCATGCAAGGTACAATGACGCTTCAGCACAATGTACCCTGGATACTATAGGATATTATATACCGTATTGTCTCTAATATAAGCACAGTCTCCAATAATAGCACGTCTCCAATAGTAGAACACCTTGGGGCGGCATTCAAAAAATAAAGTGCTCAGTCTCCATTATCTCTTAATTTGCTGGCCAAAAATCCTATATATAGGATTTGAAAATGTGTGCCTTTTATGCCGTTGTTATTGGTCATCACGACCAATAATAACGGCATAATGGTTTTCATGGAAGTTGTAAATATGTTTGAGGCATGAATGTTTACATTTTAGATTCATAGGGCGATAATATTTCTGATGAATACCCATTTTCAGCAATAATTGGAAATTTGAGCATAATTTTTCAGCTGCTGTCATGGAAAGGACTGAAGCAGTGAATGTGCAGAAGAACATTGCAGGTGTGGCACGGGGTGGTTTCTTGACGACATATCGCACATGCCGTCACGAAACTACCAGTTTTAAGGATAAAACAAGGTCCAATAAAATCTCAAATCCTATATATAGGATTCGAAAAATAGGGCACAGGCCTTAGTAATATTGGGCAAGGAGATGAGCCTGAGATGTTAGTGTTTGAAAAAATTATCTTATTCAACTCTCGATATCTACTGAGACCTAGCAAGGAAGAATTGGTCACATACTTTTTGCTATTCTCATGCCACACCCATTTTGAGTTGAAAAATATGACCAAAATCCTGTATATAGGATTTAGCAAATTAAGAGATAAGCACACTGTGTAAATTCATTATCTGTACTGGCGAAAAAACCCTGAAACGTGTGTGTCTGACATATAAATTTGGCATGGCAACATGCCTCTGAAATGAGGTTGAAATAATAATGGAACAGTCTCCAATAAAGGAACGTCTCCAATAATAGCACGGGGCGGAGGTACATTGAAAAAATAAAGGACCGTGCTTATATTAGAGATAATACGGTAGTACGGTATTTTAGAGAACCTTGCACTATGCTATACCCAGCATAGGGGAAGTTAAGGCAAAAATTAAAATTTCACCAGTTGTAGTCTTCGGGGTGCTGAGTCGAATGGTCTTGGTCCGAGAAAGCTGAGACGCTCCCTTCTTACTTGAATCCTAATCGAACTCGCTCACTTCCACCGAAACTGGGTGACTGCGCCCTACGAGATGGGGATTTGTGTGCAAAATGTCACTAAAAGCGCCATTTCGTTCTTATAAAAGCACGGATGACCGCGATTGGCCCATATGTTGTAGTCTTTTGGACGCTGAGTCGACTGGTTTTGGTCCGAAAAGGCTGCGATGCAGCTTTCCTCCTTTATTCCCAATCGAACATGGTTGAACAAGCGGTCACGTGCTCCTGCGTACACCAGTCACCTGGTCACCGTGCCTGCAGGGTACAACTTACTAGCCTGTTTGACCTTTTTTGGGTGCACTCCTGTCACTCGAGTTGAACCTTGGTGTGAAATTTGTCGCCTGCTGGCGTGGTGACCAGGTGATTTGGGCACCCAGGAGCACGTGACCGCTTGTTCAACCATGTTCGATTGGGAATAAAGGAGGAACGCTGGATCGCAGCCTTTTCGGACCAAAACCAGTCGACTCAGCGGCCAAAAGACTACAACATATGGGCCAATCGCGGTCATCCGTGCTTTTATAAGAACGAAATGGCGCTTTTAGTGACATTTTGCATACAAATCCCCATCTAGTAGGGCGCAGTCACCCAGTTTCGGTGGAAGTGCGCGAGTTCGATTGGGATTCAAGTAGGAAGGGAGCGTCTCAGCTTTCTCGGACCAAGACCATTCGACTCAGCACCCTGAAGACTACAACTGGTGAAATTTTAATTTTTGCCTTAACTTCACCTTTAACTTAGGATATATACAGTAGATGGGCTACACAGTACAGATTGTTGCACCCCTCGAAGGTGTGTTGTTCTGAAGTTTCACCATACCCTGAGCAGTAGAAGTCGGTTCTTTTTTTCCATCATAGGGGACCACACAGCGCTTGTGAACACTAAACAGCTCACCCGCCACACTCCGCGACAGCAGGTAGCTACTCCTGACAAGCTTGTTTCGTTCCATAAGAAGATCAGGGGAACGCATCAGAGGAGATGCAGTTGTTGATTGATTGGGGTTGAACTAGAAAACACTACTTTGTACAAGAGTTGAAGATACATGTACTGGCGCAAGGTAGCAGGGTTAATGCGACCTCCATTCTACACTATTCCGATTGTGTTAGATTGTCGCATCTGTGAGTTAGCTGAGTGCATACAGACACAACTAACAGAAGTGCTAAGTCTATCACGAGGAGAAAGAGAGGTACACAAATAGTTTGCGCTATAAACTACACGTCGATACTGGAGCGGTGACAGGCATAGGTGTGAAAAAGAAGCCAGGTGACAGCCAACAAAATCAAACTCGACTACTAACGTCACATCGCTTTGATCCTTGCAGCAGATGTTATCATTCTGATCAATGGCGCCTCTGTTCTACAATATTCCGTGTGTTAGTTTGTCACATTATGCGAGTTAGTTGAGTGTATACAGCTTGCGCCACCATCTTCAACCAAGAGTGCATACCCCTCAAGACTGTGCAGCTCGACTATGGGTGCTGTCCGACAGAAGTTATTTTGATGATGCAATGCGTACTTCACACGTATTATCAGGCGTATCCTCAACCCGTGGTGGACAAAGCCCCGTTTGAGGCTGTACAAACTAGTGCAAGGAAAAACGTGTGCTGCGTTGACACCCAGTACAAATGTCGTAAATCTCTGGTGCACGGAGCACTGCATTATAAAATGATGTCAACTTGAAATTCTGTCAGGACAGCAGGATATGCTGGAGTTGCACACTCTTGGGGGGGGGGGGGGGGGGGGGGTATGTACTCTTGCTTCAACTTGCGTACACAACATTATATTCTCCAGAGCAGCCCTATCATTCAACAACTGTATCGCCTCTGATGAGTTCCTGGGATCTTCTCCACATTTAAAAGACCCCTTGAGCGATCACCCTACACAGGTTACATTATAAAGTGAAACCGGTCTAAGACGACCGCTCAAGGGACCTTCTAAACGTGGTCCCTGTTACCAAGCGGTCTCCTTATCCAGGGTCATTTGACTGGAAATAGCATCCCTTGGTCCTGGTTGCAGTGGTCTTCTGGGACAGGTGGTCGCCTTATCCGAGTGGTCGCTTTGACAGGTTGTACTGTACAGCGCTAACAGTGCCAAGAACCTCAGTGATAAGCTGGACAAGTGGCATCGCCGACTGCGCAACGTACTAGGTACACTACCCTAACAAGATCTCGAATGCAGCATTATACCAACGGACAAACCGAGCACCCATCAGCACAGTATGCAAACGCCGTCGGCTGTAGTGGCTGGGAAATGTTGTGCGCGAGGATCCTGGAGCGGCCTCCTACGAAGCCCTGAAATTGGCCCTTGACACATCTAGAATCAAGCACCCCCGCGGTCGCCCCCGAAAGGGCTGGATCGATGTGGTCCGCGGCGACCTCAAGCCCTCGGGAACCTCTCTCTCGCCGACTGTATATCTCTGGCAGCGGACAGAGTTGTTTGGTTGGATACTGTTGACAGACGCGTGAGCCCCGATTAATCGGGTTATATGCGAGCTGTTGCTATTACGAGTACAGTAAAACCTGGTTTAAAGGGGAAGTTAAGGGGCCGTCCGGGGTTACCGATTGTTTTTACAAAACGAAAAGTTTTAGTATTTTTCAGCCCCCACCCACCCACCTATCTTTTCTGCAGGTAAAACGAATTCCAATAAAATATTGATGTCAATTTTCGACACCCAGAAGTAACTGGACATTCTCCATCTGCATTCAATAATTATTTTCAAAACGAAACTCCATCAAACCCACCCACCCCCAAACGAAAACATTTCGTTTTGAAAATATTATTGGTAACCTTGGACGGCCCCTAAGGCCCCTAAGGCAAAAATTAAAATTTCACCAGTTGTAGTCTTCGGGGTGCTGAGTCGAATGGTCTTGGTCCGAGAAAGCTGAGACGCTCCCTTCCTACTTGAATCCCAATCGAACTCGCGCACTTCCACCGAAACTGGGTGACTGCGCCCTACGAGATGGGGATTTGTATGCAAAATGTCACTAAAAGCGCCATTTCGTTCTTATAAAAGCACGGATGACCGCGACTGGCCCATATGTTGTAGTCTTTTGGACGCTGAGTCGACTGGTTTTGGTCCGAAAAGGCTGCGATGCAGCGTTCCTCCTTTATTCCCAATCGAACATGGTTGAAGAAGCGGTCACGTGCTCCTGGGTGCCAAAATCACCTGGTCACCACGCCAGCAGGCGACAACTTTCACACCAAGGTTCAACTCGAGTGACAGGACTGCACCCAAAAAAGGTCAAAACAGGCTGTAAGTTGTACCCTGCAGGCACGGTGACCAGGTGACTGGTGTACGCAGGAGCACGTGACCGCTTGTTCAACCATGTTCGATTGGGAATAAAGGAGGAACGCTGCATCGCAGCCTTTTCGGACCAAAACCAGTCGACTCAGCGTCCAAAAGACTACAACATATGGGCCAATCGCGGTCATCCGTGCTTTTATAAGAACGAAATGGCGCTTTTAGTGACATTTTGCATACAAATCCCCATCTCGTAGGGCGCAGTCACCCAGTTTCGGTGGAAGTGCGCGAGTTCGATTGGGATTCAAGTAGGAAGGGAGCGTCTCAGCTTTCTCGGACCAAGACCATTCGACTCAGCACCCCGAAGACTACAACTGGTGAAATTTTAATTTTTGCCTTAACTTCCCCTTTAAGCGACCACCCCACGGTGCAAGCAAAAGCGGTCGTTAAAGCCAGGCGGTCTTTAGAACCAGGTCCCACAGTTTCTGTGTAGAACTGTCCGTGCATGGAAAAACGGCCGTTAACCCTTATCCATCCGACAAAATCGCTGAGCAGGCCAAAAGTGCAATTTCACGACATATTTTACCTTCAAATTATCATAACTTTAGTCTCCATTGGCCGAATTCCATGATCTTGTGCTTCCTGGAAAGGTCCTTCCGCGACGAATGCACAGAGCCCACATTCGACATCTATAAAGCCACAAGTCGAGCGCCGCCACTTGCGAAACTTGCCCCAGCGCCAGATCTGCGGGCAGAATCCAAATTGTCTCGCCATTTCACTCTCCTCCATCGCTGGACTTTGAATTTTTGTGTACAGAACATTTATTTGGTTTTTACATCATGAGCATGTGCTTGGTGACGTAACTGTCATGCAAAAAAGAAAAATCTGACTTTGAAATGTTCCCGAGCACAGAAAATTCGCAATTGCCGTGATTTTACTTTCGGCGGACGATATCGTTGCAAGGGAGCGTCGTAGCTCTTCGGCGATTGTTTGAGACGATAGCCTGGTGTTTTCTAATGGCGATAGACCCTTCGATCATGGAATTTGGTCAAGAAATGACGGAGATACGGTGGATTTACTGATCGACGGATAGTCGTAGATTTTTGACCGGTCGGACCGATAAGGGTTAAAGGGGAAGTTAAGGCAAAAATTAAAATTTCACCAGTTGTAGTCTTCGGGGTGCTGAGTCGAATGGTCTTGGTCCGAGAAAGCTGAGGCGCTCCCTTCCTACTTGAATCCCAATCGAACTCGCGCACTTCCACCGAAACTGGGTGACTGCGCCCTACTAGATGGGGATTTGTATGCAAAATGTCACTAAAAGCGCCATTTCGTTCTTATAAAAGCACGGATGACCACGATTGGCCCATATGTTGTAGTCTTTTGGACGCTGAGTCGACTGGTTTTGGTCCGAAAAGGCTGCGATGCAGCGTTCGCCCCTAATTCCCAATCGAACATGGTTGAACAAGCGGTCACGTGCTCTTGCGTACACCAGTCACCTGGTCACCGTGCCTGCAGGGTACAACTTACAGCCTGTTTTGACCTTTTTTGGGTGCAGTCCTGTCACTCGAGTTGAACCTTGGTGTGAAAGTTGTCGCCTGCTGGCGTGGTGACCAGGTGATTTTGGCACCCAGGAGCACGTGACCACTTCTTCAACCATGTTCGATTAGGAATTAGGGGCGAACGCTGCATCGCAGCCTTTTCGGACCAAAACCAGTCGACTCAGCGTCCAAAAGACTACAACATATGGGCCAATCGCGGTCATCCGTGCTTTTACAAGAACGAAATGGCGCTTTTAGTGACATTTTGCATACAAATCCCCATCTCGTAGGGCGCAGTCACCCAGTTTCGGTGGAAGTGCGCGAGTTCGATTGGGATTCAAGTAGGAAGGGAGCGTCTCAGCTTTCTCGGACCAAGACCATTCGACTCAGCACCCCGAAGACTACAACTGGTGAAATTTTAATTTTTGCCTTAACTTCCCCTTTAAGAGCAGGTCGTCGCTAAACCCAGAGGTCGCTTACACCAGGTATTACTGTACTAGCAGTGCTCTAGTACTTACCACTAACTGAGGTTTCCCAGTACATGTACTTGCAGCTCTACATGTACTACCGTCTCACTTGCAACCTGCCTGGTACTACCCGTACTACCGTATTTCCCCGTAAGTTAGTTCTCCCCAATGACTTAGTACCCCCCTATAAAAAAAATACACTTTCCACTGCCGAGGTTATCACCCCGAAAGACAGTTCCCCCCGAAAGATAGTAAGTTTGTACCCGTCCTACATGTACAGACACCGTACAGTACATACATCATATGCACGGACACTAGAGCTGCGCAGGCTTCCCACTGCGTGTCATTTACCCCCGATAAAAAAAGTACTCCCCGAAAGATAGTACCGCCCCCGAAAGTTAGTACTCATGTGGCTGCTAAGTTCGTAAGTTAGTACGTACTAACGTACGGGGAAATACCGTACTGTTGTGGTCTGATTGAAATCCGGTCGGACGACCGTGGCCGGTGCACTTGCTGCCTTAGCGCGTACACACACTGCAGTTCATGTACGCACTGTAAAAAACGGACGAGCAGTGCTCACGACTGCAAGGCCAGTGCCCCGTGCCCGCTTCACTTCTCAACGGATTTCAATGTCCACAACAGCAGCAATTCCACACTAGGGTACCTCATGTATTCTGAGTGTTTGAGTTGAGGTAACCTGATGCGTAAGTGGCTGCGGTGCAGTCTGTGAGTGCTTAGAAAAGTAGCAATTCCAGTGGAAACACCCAGCCGCACAGCACGCTAAGCCAGCAGCACAATACGTACCTGGAGATCTGCCGACGCGCCGATGTACTCAAACGTGTCCATGCTGATGACGTCGATGATCGGGCTGACCACGCACGAGTGGCACTCGTGCACGCGCTGCAGCAGCGGCTCCAGCCAGAGCAGGTTGGGCTCGACGTGGCTGTCCAGGAAGGTCAGCACTGGCGCCGTAGCCCGCGCGGCGCCCTTCAGGCGCGAGCGGATCAGGCCCTCGCGCTGGTCGTTGCGCAGCACGATCACCTTGGGCAGCTTGGCCAGCAGGGTGGCGTCGGCCGGATTGTCGCTGAAGTCGTCCACCAGGATCACCTCCTTGATCAGGTGGGCAGGCGAGCGCCGCAGCACCGTGACGATGCTGCGCAGGATGGCGCTGCGCGCCTCGTTGTGGAACGTGAAGATGACGGACGTGGGCTGCAACGCCTGGCTGTATTCGGACTTGCGGCCGCGGCACAGAGGGTGGCGCGTGTCCGGCACGTTGCGGTAGCTGCCCAGCTTGTCGCTCGCCTCCTGGTTGAACGCGTTGGCGCGGTACGCGTCGCCGCCCGGCTGAACGCGGGTGGCGGCGATGTAGCCCTCCTCGTCGAAGAGCGCGATCGAGCGGCCGTCCGTGTCCCTCTCGTGTACTTTATGGACGCTGGCCTCGGCCACGTCCCGGTCGGAATTGTGCGCAGAGCCACCACTACTACTACTTGACCCACTGCTCAGCAGTCCATAGAACATCACCAAGATCCACACAATGGCCGCCAGGAAGATCAGCACGCGCATACGCCGTGGCCCCGCCATTGTGTCACTTCAGACGTGTACCGATGGCCGCGTCCGCACAGATAACAACGCGCCGCGTGCACCAACAACCAGCAGCGAAGTTACACCAGCCTTTTCAGCATATTCCAGCCCAAGACACAAATACTGGAAAGAAATTGTTTCCAGGAGGATGTCCACCGCCTTCCTATTTGCAATCGGCGGCTACAAAATACCACCGTGTATTGCTGTCAACATCTATCCTATACACAAGCGTTGGAAGGTAATACTAATAGGAAAATACTGAGACAATACACAGAGATAAATTATGCTATCTCAAATTATAACAAAGGAAGATAAGATGCATGCACGGTATACCGGTATAACGTGAACGCTGAAGGCTGAAACTGTGAAAGTGTGACTGAACATGGAAACGCTGAATCTCTCGTGCGTAGATCGATCTGCATGCAAGCTTGCAAGCATTACATAATGCACTTGTACAAAAAAACAAGCCTGGAAAAGAACTGTGCCTTACCACGTGACGTCACGCTTCCACTCTTTTTTGAATCTTGTAAAACTTCAAAATAAAAATATGCAAAGGAGAGTATTTTATTGAAAATTAATAACAATTATTGTGAAGACGACATACGTTTTCTCCTTGTTAGATACTGCAAGATAAGTGCTACATCCGGGAGTGTTTCTACCCCAGTTTTGTATGCGTTTGAAGTTCTAAAGGCATGGCCCTGTTTCTTGGAAGAAGGTTGCTGAGCCGCCAAACTAACGCCGCACATTTGCTGTCAAGAAGAATGGCCAGCTCTCAGGGTGGCGATGATTTGGAGCGTCTCAGCCAGTTCGAGTCGTTGGCGGTGAGGCGTCCGTCGGACTTCGTCGTGCAGGTGGAGCTGAATCGGCCGGAGAAGCGCAACGCCATGAACCGCGTGTTCTGGAAGGAAATGGTCGAATGCTTCAACTTGCTGGCAATCGACGAGAACTGCCGTGTAGTGCTGCTGACGGGAGCGGGTAAGTCGTTCACCGGCGGGCTGGACCTGATGGACTTCGGGCCGGAGATGATGCGCTGGACGGCGGAAGGCGAGGACGTGTCTCGCAAGGCCATGGCCCTGCGCCGCTTCATCGGCGAGATGCAGGAGACGTTCTCGGTGATCGAGCGCTGCCCAAAACCCGTGATCGCCGCCGTTCACAGCGCGTGCATCGGCGGTGGGGTGGACATGATCTCGGCGTGCGACGTGCGCTACTGCTCGGAGGACGCCGTGTTCCAGATCAAGGAGGTCGACCTGGGACTGGCGGCGGATGTCGGTACGCTGCAGCGGCTGCCTAAGATCGTCGGAAACGACAGCCTGGTGCGGGAGCTGGCGCTGACAGCGGCCAAGCTGGACGCGCGCCGTGCCCTGGAGATCGGCCTGGTCAGCCGCGTCTTTCCCGACCAGCCATCGCTGGTCGCCGCCGGCCTGCAGGTTGCCAAGGAGATAGCGGCGCGCAGTCCGGTCGCCATCCAGGGCACGAAGGTGAACTTGAACTACGCGCGCGATCACAGCACGGCGGAGTCGCTGGACTTCATGGCCACGTGGAACGCCGCCATGCTGCAGAGCGAGGACGTCGTCAAGGCGGTCACGGCGCAGATGGCCAAAACGCCGGCCGAGTTCTCCAAGCTGTGAGCCGCCCGTCGTCACTGTCACCGCCATCATGGCTGTATTGACCCGTTGAGCCAGGGCCGGGTGGCCTGGTGTACGTTGCATGCACTGCTCGCATCGTACTCGCATGCTTACCGTACCAGTCTCTGGAGGTAGTTCGTGAGCAGTAGCCTGCACGGCCCTCCATACACGGATGCCATTATGTACATGACATGTATGCAGTGCATGTTGACCTGTGTGTGGTCCTTGGCGACCAGCCTTGCTGCAGCTAGACAAGCTCAACTGATTGCGCGTTGACATGCACTTTTCCGCCAGGTACGCCGATCGAGTGAGCAAGGCAATGGTGCTGAAGGACAGCTACTGCAATGCATTAGCAGAACTTTGACTCGTAATATTGCCACTGGGCTGGCTTCGTTGCGTGTACATTGTGTGAGTGTGTTCTCCTATCCCAAATGCTCGTCTTTGATCCATTGAGGGCCTGGTGCCCTTTAACCTGAGCTAGACTCCTATATGGCGTATTTCGGTTTTTCTATTTCTATTTGAACTCATCACTCGTCATCACAATTTCGTAGACTATGGCAGAGTAGATAGCCAATATTGCTAGCATCCTATTTAGTAGTTCGCATGACCGGCGGCTTTCCTATTTTTATTGTAGCAACTTTTAGGCCATGATTGTTTGGCCCAATCCGAATCCAAAGGATCCACTTGATTTTCAATGACCGATTGGTTGAGTCCGGATTCAGATCCATTGGATTTGGATCCGGATTCGACGCGGCCCGGGCCGCGGCAGCAGGGTTGGCTGGTTGCGACGGATTCATTTTGCCAGACCAGACGTTTGTGCGTGTTTGGTAGGTAACACTCATTGTTGTACGCAGGGTATTATGCTAGTGGGTACGACCAAGGGTATTTGCTTGTGTACTCTTGTCCAACCAGAGTTTGGGGATGTTGGGCGGTTCAATAGACAATTATCTTTCCAAGATTCCTTTTGGATCTCTCCCCCCACCCCTCTTCTATTCAGGCGAGACCCAAGTGACCATGCAGTTTTAGCAGTAAGTACAGCACTGCTCAATGAAATCCAGTCGCATCACTCAAGCACGCGCCAGGCATTGCGCAGCCCTAGACCTGCCAACACTTGGCTGTGAAATAGCACAATGCGCAAACTTGAGCGACGCGATTGGATTTCATAGAGCAGCACTGTACTACATACATGATTGCACTGTATGTACATGTGTACTGCGTGCATGTGTCACATTGTGTGTGTAAACCAGGGAGTTGTAGAATACTGGGAGGCGACACTCCGCACATTGTCAAGGGGTCGCCTCAGTCCGCGTTTCAACTGCATCAACCGCAAGATTTGAAACGTCGTCGTCTTCGTTTTCTCAATTATTTTTTTGGGGTATGCCTCGAGGCCCATTCTGGATCTCAAGAACCAATGCTGGTTGACACCAAGCACTACCACCATGTACTGTAAAAGCAGAAATTTTCGGTGGTGTAATATTTTCGGTATTCTCCAAAATCGGCGGTTCGGCGGAGGGAAATTTTCGGTAAACCCGCGTTCCAGGTAAGTGTACTAGTACTATACCGGCATTTTCAGTGCGTTTTATTTTCGGTAAAAATTTCGGCACCGAAGTTACCGAAAATAAAACACCACCGAAAATTTCTGCTTTTACAGTATTAGACAACTCCTGTGAACGCACTCTCGGGAACACGGGAAGAAAGCCTATGACTTAAAACATATTCGGAGCGTTCTTTTCTTGTGCACTCTTTAGTAGGGAACAAATTTATATTGTCAGGTGTTACTAAAATCCACAACAGCAAAAGTTCAAATTATATCGGAGCAAATGCACGCCGGAAATAAATCAGAATGCCACTGCTGAACCAAACGGCCAGCCACCAGCCAGTTTACAGTAATATTCATGAGTGAGATTATAATGACAAAGTGCAAAGCGCATTGTCACTGCAGTTCAATACTAGTAATCGAATGGAGATGTTACACAATAGTTGTTGATCTTCGACTTTCCTAGTAGGCGACCGGCCATGTGCTTGCTGGCTGGCTAGTGAGACACATCTACGGGCGCATCATCCGGGATAAGCAGCCCTTGGACGCCCAGCTTTATCCACACGTCCGAGGTGAAATTCGTCGGGCAGTTCTCGAACGAGTTAAGTAGTAGAAAAGGGTTGCACTGGCCAGCACTCAACAATATCAGAGACACGGTAGAAATCGTAACGAGCGCGCAAGATTCCCACAGCAAGTTATAGGCAAAACCGACGGCGGCTACGCGGCTGCAATGCCGCGTGCGTCGGCATCTAGTGACAGCGCTGACCCGGGCGTAGGTGTTTTGGTACTGCCAAGCACGCCGAGATTCACAGACTAAGACAGTCAAGTCAAGCAAGCTATACAACCAGATCGGCCTGATGGGATCTGAAAGCCACTGTTGTCGGCTATATCGGCAATGTCCAGTGACCGGCACCAAACACAAAGTGAAACCGAGGCAGAAAAAAAAGAAGAAAAAAGAAGTCAGCGAGCGCCAGGCCTGCTCATCACTAGATTGTGACTCGGAGTGAGACTGGTACCGCGGGCCCAAAGACCATTCAAGGCAACCGTTTGCTAAAAAAAAAACTTTCTCGTGAGCTCTCATCACACCGGGGAAAGCAGCACAAGTGGCTGGATACTACGGGTGGCCCAAACCTGGTGCATCGCGCGGTAAGTCCAGCTTAGCACTCAGATCACGGGAAGCCACCACCGCACGGCAACAGTCCAAATGACAGCTAGCGCTGCGCAGGTTTCGGAACGCAGCGAACACACTGGAACGACCGCTGCGGCCGCTCCGGACGTGTCAAGTGTTCAGCAGAGAATTCGAGAACACCACCATTGCACGGCACCCGATGGGTAGCGGAAGACATGACGCGGGCAGCTCTAACGGACGGACACTGGGGCAATGGCAACGACTGCACACGAGCTCTGGACTCTGGTTGACCGTGTTCTGGGCTGCTGGGCATGGTACAGGAAACGCGGCGACTTAGACGGGGTCCAGTAAACTGCAATGCAAGCACACTTGCATCTTCCCTCGTGTGTTACGTCCAGGATTGAACGTGCTGGCACGCACTTCATCAAGTGTCACCGTCATGGATCAAATATAACGTACATCCAGCAGGTCCAGCAGAGGGAGAGAGAGTGTGTGCAGTCTAAACGTCCTCGGCCATCGGATTGTGCAGGTTGTACAAAAACGACTGGACGAGCGCAGCCTCGCAACGAGCCTTCAGCTCCTCGGTGTTTGCAGCGGGCGCAGTGGCAGATGCTTCTGGCGCCGCGCTACCAGCTTGCGGTTGAGTTGCCGTGCTGGGCTGCTGACTGCTCCCAGAATTCGTACCGTTCTGGTCGGGCATGGAGCTCCATTGGCTCCAGCCAGCGTCAGAATCGACGGGCTGTTGCCCAGGTTCATTACGCTGCTGCTGCTGGATCTGCTGTTGCTGCTGGTTCTGCTGTCGCTGCTGCTGCGTATTCCAAACGTGTGGCTTCTGACTGAGCTGGAAGACCGATTGTGACTGGTCACCTGAAGTATGCGACTGCTGGGATGTGGACCGCATGGCGCTGCGCTGCTGCTGTTGCCAGAGTTGTTGCGCCTGCTGCTGCTGTTGCTGTTGTTGCTGCTGCTGCTGTTGCTGCAACACCGCCGTCTCCGCTTGGCGCCGCCGCGCCTGTTCCTGTTGTCGCTCTGCGGACGCACGCGCAAGGCGGGCGTACCGTGCGATGCGCTCCTCGTGCTCCTTCAGCCACGTCTCCTCCTGCATCAGCCACACGGCCGTCTGCTGGTGTTCGGCGCGCATGTGCGACAGGCGCTGCTTTTGCAGGTCGAGCACGCTGACCTGCTGCTCCCAGAAATCGCCGTCGGCGAGCAGGTGACGTATATCCAGCAGATCATCAGGCTGCTGCTGCTGCTGCTGCGAAGGGGTGCCAGTTGTTTGCGTGCTTTCTGCTTTGCTCGTTGACTTGAGGGCACGTTCTATTCGGGAAGGGCCCGCTCCGTTTCTGTCCAGCGTACCTGCGAAGGGGGCGTTTGCTTGCTGCTGGACTATCTCATGGTGCTGCAGGGCCGCCATGTGCTTGTGCTTGACCATCGTATGCTGCTGCTGTTGGTGCTGCTGCTGCAGCTGCTGTTCCTGCCGCTTGGATACCATGTGCTGCAGCTGCTGCTGCTGGACGAGCTGCATTTGAGCGCCGGTGGCGTGGAACTGCATGGCGTGCGCGTGATCGTTCCGTTGCATGCTCTGATAGCCCTGCGGCGGCTCCTGGCCTCCGTGCTGTGGCTGCTGCTCGCGAACCGACGGACTCGGGGCACTCGCGGCAGCGGGCTTCTCCTTCCTTGACGATGGCCGAGCAAGCAGTTTACTACGAGGCAATACATGGGTTATTGCGGAGCCCCAGCCATTCTGCGCCACCACGCGCACATTCTTGTCGGCCTCACAGGGCTCCTAGACGGGAAAAGCGACGGGAGAAAAAGAACACACATGCACACATACACGCACACACATGCACACACACACACATACACACACACAAACGGAAAGTGATTATTAGGCGCGCGCTGTAGTACAGGGCAGAGTCCACTGCTACTACTACTACTACTACTACTACTACTACTACTACTACTGAGAACGTTGACTTTATTTGATAACAAACTGGGTGTCGGAAAGAAGAATTCAAAAAGCGGAAGCAAAGAAGGCAATGGTGACAAATCCAATCAAGTATATTGTAGATAGGAAAATCAAATCAAATAAATAGGAAAATCCAAACTACTACTACTAGTACTAGTACTACTAGTACTACTGGTACTACTACTACTACTACTACTACTACTACTACTACTACTACTACTACTACTACTACTACTACTACTACTACTACTACTACTACTACTACTACTACTACTACTACTACTACTACTACTACTACTACTACTACTACTACTACTACTACTACTACTACTACTACTACTACTACTACTACTACTACTACTACTACTACTACTACTACTACTACTACTACTACTACTACTACTACTACTACTACTACTACACACACGCGCACACACACACACACACACACGCGCGCGCGCACACACACACACACACATTGGGAGGAAAGACGTATCGTACTCTCTCCAATTTCATAGTTATTATTCTCGTTATGCTCTTCTTTTCTAATTGTTCATTCCCTGATGATGGGCCAGGCCCGAAAATTTGGTGTAAAGTAAATTTAAATTTAAATCGCAGTGAAGAGACCGTTTCCTTTCGGAAATTGGAGTTGAAAAGTGAAGTTTCCAAAATATTCTCTTCTGGCAAAATTAGCAAACCACACACCGCGAGCAAAAGACAGTTTGCAGTAAGCAAGAGCATGCAGCTGTGATGACGGGTCAGGGCACGGCCAGGTGCCTGCATTCGCACACTGTATAGCAGGAATTCCGGACGGAATTTATTTTCGTACGATTTCGTACACGGGCCTCTTTTGTGCTAAAATTATTTCCGTACTAAAATTTGTTCATGTGAAATTATGTACACTATACATGCAGCACTATACGAAAATTAACCCTTTATGTACTGATTTCCAGCACAGAATGAAGCAGAATTTGAATTTTCAGCACAATTTTCACCTTCAACAGGCTATAACTTTGACCTCCTTCGCTCCATTTCCACAGTCTTGGGCTCTTTGGAAAGCTCCTGGCGAGAGCAACGCCAGGATACCAGGCTCTATCAACTAGCTGCCACAAATCAGGCGCAGGAACACAGCAAAGTCGTGTCCAAGCCCAATATGCGAGCAAATTTTCCCATCAACGCCATTCCACTCTTCTCTATCGCAGAACGCTCAAATCTTTTCGAGGCGATTCAAACTTCAGCCAACTACGTCACTATCATGTGCGGAGTTGGTCAAAGAGCACACGAAAAGGGATTTTCCCCTAAAATGGCGGAGAGATCGATAAATTTTTTGAATTTGCCGAGACGAGAATACGGCGCGCGATATCTCTGGAATCGTACATCGTAGCTCTTCGGCGATTGTTGCATTGGAAAGCTTGGAGTTTCCGCTACCAAATAGACCCTTCGATGGTTGAATTCGGACAAGAAATGATGGAGTTACAAAGGTTTTACAGATCGATCATGAATCGATCATATGTGATCGATTCACGTACACACCGTACATAAAGGGTTACATCATAATAAATGCGTACAAAAGGTCAGAATTCGGCTTTGTTCGAAAATATTCCCGTCCGAAAACTTCCTGCTATACAGTATCTTGCTTACTGCTTGCATACATCACACGCCGTCGCACTCACGCAGCTGAGGGAAACTTCACTGTTCGCGCGACACACAGTCAAACTGAGATTTGTCCGCATCCGTACCACCGGTCTTTTGCAGCTCTCTTAAAATCTCTTGCACTTCTGTTTTTTCATCTCCTATTCATTCGCTTTTCTACAGTGGTCTCACTGTCATTAGGCAATTTGCCTGTTCAGATTGCCATTCTAAAGAAATACAAAATACAATACAACACCTCTGGCTTTAGCGACCACCTGCTTTTAACGACCGTTTTCCATGCATGGACAGATCTATACAGAAACTGCACCGGATACAGCAACCACCTGCCTTGCGCGACCAGCGACCGACTTTTCGTGTACCAAGTGCCACATTGGACCTGCACACAGAGACCAAAACTAACCAAAAGTGCCTTCTTGGCTGGTAGGGTTGACTGCAACAGCGTTGAAGTGCGCTCTGAAGCAAGTGCATGCAGTCAACAGAAGTGACAAGTGACAGTGCAGGATGCGCTGCATGCACTTGTGTGCTTTGCCTGCAGGAGAGTATTCTATGCTCCACACCTGTCAATATGAGTACATGGAAGTACAATCATGCACATGTATGCATAATCTGATATGCCGCGAATGTACGGGATCTGGTTCTAAAGACCACCTGGCTTTAACGACCGCTTTTGCTTGCACCGTGGGGTGGTTGCTTAAAGGGGAACTGTCACCAAAAATTTTCTTCGTCTTATCTTGTAGTTCTTTGGCTCCTGATCACGATGGCGTTATTCGTTTTTCTCTGCGATGACTGGAAGTGGGTGAAAACTTGAAAAGAAGGTGCCCAAAATTGTCCCGAAGTACCGAGTGACGTCACGCCGGAGTTGACCTCCACGCGTACATTCATCGTCAAAAACGAAGTCCAGCCCGTGTGCTGGTCGATCGAGCCAACTGTTCGATGTACGGTGCGCACCGGTGCACGCTTGCCTTTTGAACTCGGACACTCGATGTGTACGTTGTACACAATGAGAACGCCAAAAAGGGACAAAATAAACAAAAGCCGACAGCAGTTTGTCGCACTGGTACTTCCTCCACGAAGCTCCAGCTCTTTGTTTTATTAATTTTGTGATTACGAAGGAGTAGAAGGATGTTTGTTTGCTGTTAGTATGACACACATACCTCGTACTTGAAAATTATGTCGTTGTATCGAAGGTGGCGCCGGCGGTGTTGCCCACCCGGCTCTGAAATGAAAGACGTCGGAGTTTGTCATCTGCATCTTCAGCAACATCGCCAGATGAATCGCCTTCACGTAACTATACATAGCGTTCCTTTGGGGCTCGGGTTGGTGGTGTTATCGCCGGCCGGAGGAGTATTGTTTTCTGCATACGCACTCATCATCGTGTTGTTCCTCACACGAAAAGTTCAAAACGACGTCCTTCCGTTCTCACAAAATAAAACTTAGATCCTCGCGGAAGAAGTCAAAAAGGTGAAAGCTCAGCTGCTTTTTATTTTGATTTGGCTGTGTAGCTGCACGTGGGTGTCTGCCTCTTTGGCATTCTCCTTCGGTACGACGCACCCATCTGTGTTACAAATCAAAAGGCACGCGCGCACCGTACATTGGAACAGCTAGCTCGATCGATGAGCACACGGGCTGGACTTCGTTTTTGACGACGAATGTACGCGTGGAGGTCAAGTCCGGCGTGACGTCACTCGGTACTTCGGGACAATTTTGGGCACCTCCTTTTCAAGTTTTCACCCACTTCCAGCCATCGCAGAGAAAAACGGATAACACCATCGTGATCAGGAGCCAAAGAACTACAAGATAAGACAAAGAAATTTTTTGGTGACAGTTCCCCTTTAAACCAGGTTGTGCTGTACACTCAAACGTCTCTTATCCGGACGCCTCAGATACCGGCACGTCTCTATACCGGGCACCTTCAAGCTTGAGTTTCTATGGCAGAATGCCTCATTGGGGGGGGGGGGTTGAACCTTTTTTTCGTACGCACAATTGCTTATTTGTCACTGCCAACTTGTGGAATCCACACATTTTCATCAATGGATTCATTTTTATCCTGAGCATGTGCAATACGTGCGAAATAAACTTCACTTCAAAAACTGATACGGTACGTGATAGATGAGTTGTCCGGAGATACGGGCAATTGTGAGATACGGGGGCAGTGCCTGGTCCCAAGGTGCCCGGATAAGAGACATCCTCCGAGTGTACCCTGATAAAATACAATACAACACCAGGACCGTGTACGCGGAGCCCCGGCGTGCGTTCATATAGAGCTCGGCTGCCACTCACCTCCCCCAAGGTGATTCCCGTCCCAAGCAACATCTTCCTGCAGTCGTCAGTGCTTTTCTGCGTAAGCTGGCACACAATGTCCAGCACGGCGTGGCCATATTTAAACTGGAGACAGGCAAAAAAAGAAAGAAAAAAATGAAAATTATCGCGTCCGTTCCCGAAGGGAACTCACGACGGCCGCTAACACCCGGTAAGCCCGGAGACAGGCAAACAACGAGTGAAAACAACGGCCAATGACCAACAGGAAAAGAGTCCTGTGTGCTTCCATTCCGGCATGCACGCAGGAAGAGTTAGACAAATAGCACCGGTCAGAGCATACTGTCTCTGGGAGGTGTTGATGATCATATTATAGTCCGTACTGGATTATTCTATCTCCTCTGCTTGCCAACGAAACAGCCCTATTTTACTTCCCTTTGTGTACCTCTTGCCTGCAAGATACACGGGAGCAAACTGAAGTGATCAGGTTTCGGTGTGAAAAGCAGTACCGTACTCTCCGGGGTGTTAGCTGCACTTTGAAACGCCTAAAAAACCCTCTAAAATCGCCCATGTAGCTCGGACTTCGAGTGCTGGCCAAGAATGAACCAGTGATACAGCGTGCCATCACAATATGCATGTATGGTGTCATTCGACTCATTTTCAAGTGTTTTTATGCACAGAAATCAATCATTGCAGATGTACGATCCTCTATGTTGTCAGTTCAGAGTGACGGACTAACAAAGAAACTTTTGCTGGAACTACAGCCGTGCTTCTCAACTTTTTAACGGTAAACGTCTTGTATATACTAGTAATCGAAAATCTGACGTGCGCGTTATACTCCGAATGTCAAAAAAGATACGGATTTTGGGCCAATGGGGGGGGGGCTAAAGTTAACCCCGGAAAATACGGTACAGTACTTGCAGGGAGGTGGAAAGCTGCCCGCACTACGCACACGCTGGTTCGATGAAGTTGCAGGGTGTGTATACTATGAAGTGAATGCATCTCGGTTCGAGTGAAGAAAGGGATTCAGGGTTCTGGCTAGGATACATCTGCAAGCGAGCGAGAGAGAGAGAGAGAGAGAGAGAGAGAGAGAGAGAGAGAGAGAGAGAGAGAGAGAGAGAGAGAGAGAGAGAGAGGGGGGGAGAGAGAGAGATTGAGAGAGAAAGAGAGAGAAAGAGAGAGAGAGAGAGAGAGAGAGAGAGAGAGAGAGAGAGAGAGAGAGAGAGAGAGAGAGAGAGAGAGAGAGAGAGAGAGAGAGAGAGAGAGAGAGAGAGAGAGAGAGAGAGAGAGAGAGAGAGAGAGGGAGAGAGAAAGAGAGACTGGGAGAGGATCAGAACTGCCCAGAAGGCTCTTAAAAAGATGGTCATCAACCTTGAGAGGCAACACCAGGGGACAACAGTGGACAAACCAACACACACGCACGCATACTTGTACTTGCTCACTGCCAAAACTGGTCACGTGGGTCTCCCCGGGAGAGGGGAGAGAGACTCAAAAGGAACCTTGAAAAGATGACTCAATTGGCTATTGAACCACCCAACGGCCGACACCCCCCCCCCTGAAATCAACAAACTATGGGTGGACTTGGGAAATGATCCCACTTATGGGCTCACCACACCTCAGTAAGTGGGTGAGGACAAGGTGCAGAAAAAGGATTGACGGCATCAGGGTATCCGTCCCGGGATCCAACTTCAGTTTCCCCTGCCCCAGTGAGGGTAATACTTGCTACTCGTGTGAGTGGCTAAATCAGAATGGATCTGATATAAGCTTCACTAGCACCATTGATTACACAAGAGTTAGGGTGCGTTCTTAAATCCTCTCGGAAAAGTTGGATACTCTCCGAAAAGTTCGAGAGCTGTTCTTATATCCTCTCCGACTTTTAGGAGGCTATCCAAGCTCTCCAAGCTTCAGAGGTGGTTGAAACTTGGAGATTCCCGCGGTTTGGGATCAGCGCATGCGAACTACGACTAAAAGCCACGTGTTAATCATGAGTGTACGCATTTCCCTTTTCGCATACGCAGTTTACGCACACGTGCATATTACATTCATCACTCAAGATCGCGGCCCCTTTGGCGCTTCATTTTGTTTGACATGTGCAAAATATCTCCGAATTCTCCGGGACCCGTTCTTGAATTATCCCAGTTTCTTCGACTTCTCTTTTCTTCTTCTCCTAGAAGCTAGAGAATATAAGAAGGCACCCTTAATCTAGCCAGAAGCAGTCCATGGCTAACAGCTACAGTAAAACCTGTCTCAGGCGACCCCTCGAGGGACGAGAAAAAGTGGTCGCCGTGGCCAGGTGGGCTTCTTATCCAGGTTCAGTGGGTCACGTGACCATATCCACATGTGATACATCATTTTGATCAGTGCGTCACAGTGCACACACCTATGCTACTCTAGCACGAGTCATGTGCCTGGGGTCCTCACTCCTCACACCTGTCTAGGGTCGTGCATGCACCATGCACATCTACACTTCCTGCACTGATGCGTAGATCTACCATGCATGGTGCACCATGCAATGCATACCTTTTTAGTGTACTAGCACTGTGCAACGCGGTCGCGGGTGGGTGGTCGTCGGTCGGTCGCGTTGAGCGAGTGGTCGCCTTATCCGAGGTGTTTTGAATGTGAATGCGTCCGTGACAAGGAAAAGTGGTCGCCATGGTCGAGAGGTCGCCTTATTCGAGTGGTCGCCATTACAGGTCTAATTGTATGTATACTTCAAAAAGAAAGTATATGAGCCCTGAAACCAAGAAAGGTGGCAAGTACAACAATACGCCGTCAAGCAGCCGAGCCTGTCAGCAAAGACCCAACACTATCTGGCATAAATGCACCCACCAACCGAACTAGCTGGCACACGCACACACACGCACGCGCGCGCGCACACACACACACACGTACACACACACATACCTCGCTGACAGGGATCTGAAGGTGCTGTATCGTATCCAGGTATCTCCGAGCACGCGCCGCACTCTCACCGGCTAGAGGTAGCGCGGGGCTGAATAGGGACGCCAGCAACAGTTCGCGCATCTCCCGCTCACGAAAGTGCTGTGTCACCTCGTCATTGCTCAGTGCACTCGCGAGGAAGAAGACAGAGTTCTTGTCCAGCTCGAGGCAGCTGCCGAGCTCAACTGCCTTGGCACGCTCCGTCAGTTCACCGAGTAGAAGCTGTACGAGTGGCTGCCAAAAGGAGGATAGATACGTGATCAGTGTAGGGACGGACAGCGTCTTAAGACCATTGTCTTTCACGATGCCATCGAGAGCCTCCAGCGCGCTCTTCTTGCCAATCGAGTCGGCGTCGTCCTTAAAGCTGGACAAGTAGCAGACGGTCATCGGCAGGGCCAGCCTGGCTGGTAGGGCACGCAGCACATCGAGCGACTCCTTCGTGACTGACCTGTTGCTACCGCGCGGCACTGGCGGAATGGTGGCCGTGACGGCGTCTAGGAAGCGATGACCCAGGTCGTCCAGCTGCTCGCCCAGCTGCTCATTCAGCATTTCCCGGCGTTTCTCGGCGGACACCGCCCAGTTGAGATTGCTCAGCGACATGTGGATGAGCATCATGTACCAGCTGCGATAGGGCCGCGTCTGTCTGAGCCCGTCGAGCAGGGTGGAGAACACGTCGCCCGACAGCTCCTTGGGAGCGCCGGGACTTAGCAGCGCGTAGAGAGCCCTGTCGATGAAGACGCCGTTGCCTCTCTCCAGCAGGTGGCTGACGGCAGCGCTGTGCACGGCGCTGAGCGCGGCCACCTGCTCCGTCCGCAACGCCGTGTTGTAGACCCAGGGAACGCGCGGGGTATCGCCCTGTATGCGCTTGCACGTCAGCTGCACCCAGAACGTCGCCGACGTCTGCAGCGACTTAAACGAGCACAGCGCGTCGATGACGACCGCCAACTGGTCGTCGCTCACGCTCTCCACCTCCTTGTCGAGCTGCAGCGACAGGACCGCGGCCGTAGCCAGGGGTGCGGAGTCCGTAGCCTTGGCGATACGTACCACGTGCAGCAGTCCGTTCAGCGTCAGCCTCCCTTCTTTGATATGTGCCTGGATGGTGCCAGCGACCAGCTTGCTATCCAGGCCGGGCTGGCGCAGAGTCGGCTGCAGCTCCGACGTGAAAGCAGTGGCACTCATCGAGTTCAGCTTCTCAGCCTCGAGTAGCGCTGGTATGCTGGCCGCCGCCGCTCCTTGGTCAGCACCGGCCCCGCTGCTACCACTGGCGTCACTGCTGCTCTTACTGCTGTTACTGGGCTTGTCTTCGACAGATGGTGCTGGACTGCTCTCACTGCAAAATCTTACCAAGCGCTGCGCCAGCACTCCTGTCATTTGACCAACTTGATGGGTGTTCTGCGCTCGCCGAGCATGGCAAAGCAGCGAGTCAGCCCGCAGAATGGCTCGGCGAAAGGGCATCATTGTTCTGCGTCCAGTGGAGATTTCTTCCAACTACTACTAGTACTCGAACAGATTCAAAAACAGCTACAGTACATGCATGCACCGGTACTGCAGATCGACGTTGCCCGCATGCCTCACGTGAGCTTCGGCAAAATAATTCTGATTGGATTCACCATCCCATTTCGTTCTACAACCTTGGCCAATTGGATATTGCTTTAGATTTGCCGATGCCAGCTAGCCACACGAAGATGTGAAACAACACAAGGTGACTTCTTTCACTTTTGTCAAGATACAGTAGTTAGATAGTACGAGTCGAGTCCGCATCTATCTCACGATCACAGGGATTGGTGAAAAAACACCATAATTTTTTACCTCCACCGCCACCGGCTGCACCATGGACATGGCCAGCTACTGAGCTAGCTAGCTACAAGCTGCATGCAGTAGGCCTTTCCGGATTATGTGTTTGCATATTTTTGCATTTTGGGGGTCAAAATGCATTTTGTCCATTTTGACCCACTTTGGGCCAGGGAGTCGTAAAATACCGGTATTTTACGACTCCCTGCAAGCGATAGGTACTTCACGATCACCATGAATGATCACCATGGTGCCAAATGTCACGCGACTAGCTGTCGCCATTTTGTTACCATGGCAACGGCGGCATTTTTTCGTGCTTTTTGGGTAATTTTTTGCATTTTCTTTAGAAAAAAATTTGATTTATAGGGGTTTTCCAAAACACTTTCCATTTCCATTTTAGACCAAGAAAAAACGCATAATCCGGAAAAGCCTAGCATGCAGCTCCCGATCTACTCTTTCTTGTTGCGTGGTGCGGTGACATGATGTCTGCGGCATTCATACTTTTCATAGCTATTATTCAATAAAATTGTGTTGTTTTTGAAAAAAAAAATTGCTATGCGTATCGAATTGCGAAGGGGCCGTGACGTCACACCTAACAGCCCCATATGGCCATATATACAGTACATGTAATGAGAGAACAAGTACGTCATAATCTTGGCCAGGCTTCCATGCTGCTAGCTTGCCCAGGCCAGGTCGCCAGGATATCGCTTCGGCCCTCGGGTGATCCGCGCGGCCGGCGCTGCCCTCGAGCTAGCCGGCCGAGGGACCCAAACTTTTTGTGGAGATATAGGGCATGTTCGATTGGTAAGGATCGGGATCGGGATCCAGATCTCAGATCCCTCGGATCCTTCAGATTCAACTGAACACTTTATTTTGGACCTTGACTGTTGCCATGTTGAAAATGGCGCTCACAAGGCACCCTAAAGGGTGAACGTCGTACTCATCGCGTGCGTCGTACAAAAAGTCAACAAGCTCTATCTCCATCCACGTGTGCGTACCACAATGTGTACAAAAATGATTTTTACCCGCCATATACGCACAAAGGTCACATTTGGATCCGTTGGATCCGATCAACCCTGCTCCCCGAGGAGGGTTGACCGGATCCAAATCCGAAGGATCCGGATCCGGATTCGACCAATCGAAAGGGTGCGAATCCAGTGGATCCGGTGGATCGGGATCCCGATCCTACCAATCGAACATGCCCATAGATGGGCGATATCGCGATCGCAAAAAGCCGAAAATGTGCTATTGAGGTTTTGCATTCCGAAATTCGGCAAAAAGATTCGGCACGCGTGCACGCGGGAGCGAGGTCGAAAATGCACACGAAGCTCGAAGATTCGGAGTGTTTGTTCGGAAAAAGCTCACTTTGCCGAAAATATTTTTCGGATGCATTTTCTTGTAGAAGAGCGCTAGCGCGTGATTTATTCAAAGAGGTTTCTTATCTCGGCATCGCTTGGCATGGCAGGCGTCTTTGGCGACATAGCATCGTCAGCTACCTCTGATTGCTCAAAGTTCGTTGGAATCAGCAAGAAAAGGCGCACGGGACAGGACGTTGCTGGTGCTGGGGCTCACGAAATGAAAACACATCATTTTCGACTTGCAAAACAAACGTTGGTGCGAAAATTCGACATTTTGATGTTCGACAAATGACCGAAGAACGCTGTACCGAAATTCGGAATGCAAAACCTCACTAATAATTCTCATGCTCAAGACAGTAAAAATGTTGAAGCTGCATGCAGTGCTAGTGAGCTCCGAATCAGTCAAACTTCTCCTCCTTTCTTCTTGGTTGATCGATGTGAAGCAAGGAATTTTCCTGGCTTGATGACAGATGCTAGTATTTGAGGCAAGGAAAAATCATCTCCCAATAAAATCTGCCTGCGATGCTGCCACTTCGCAACGTTTGTTCACGTGTAAATTCTCGTCAAGTTCTATTGTTGTTGACGAGTAGATTCGCCAATGGCACCGTCACAGCACCAGTGTCGGGCAGTGCAAAATGCGTCAGGATAAGCTGGCGGGGCACAGCGGCCTGCGCTTCTCCTGCACCTGTGCCATGGTCCCCGGCGGATTTCAGCGCGGAGTGCCTGAATAGTGTGGAAGCCGGTGATTTCGCTGCCTTCTTGGACCGTTTTCCTTCGCTGCCTACAGAAGAACAGAACGAAATCATTAGCTCGTTCAGCAAAATTATCGACTTTGAGAAGCTGTCCGCATCCAGTATAATATATGGTGTACTGTTTGCACGCAATACTGGCTTGTCATCTCTGACCAAAGCGTTTTTGGCCAGTGTACAGGAGACAAGTGTCCTCAAGAAGCTAAGTGATGCGCAGCTGCAGGTGGTGGCGAGGGCTGCGCTGATTAGCAGCGTCGCTCCAGACAACGGTGTCCAGGATAACGGCGGCGCAGCGGCAGACTCGTTCTGGTGCGATGCGCTACGACAGCGCATCCTCGGCGACCAGGTGTCCGATATGCACCTGGTGGGCGCCTGCTTTGAACTCTACAACACCAAGCAGTGTGAGAGCACCCACAGCCTGTTGCAGGCCGCACTCCTGCATTTGTTCAAGAGGCTCGACGTCCTGGAGCCGGCGATGGCGCTTGAAGTCCTGCAGGCCTCGACCGGGCCGTTTCGGCACAACGCCATGTCGAAATGTATACAATGTCTCAAAACGCACACTGTCGATAGCCATTGGTTCGACTTGCTCGGATTTGTCATGTCCAAGGATGTACGCTTTGTCACTTCCCCGGAGGAACGGCATAGCCAGGTTCGGACCTTGTTAGGAAGGGTGACGCTCGATTTCGCCAGGATTTTTTCGCTGCTGTACAACGCTAAGGACCGTGCGCTGAGGGCGTTCCTGCTGGTCCCGCTGCAGAATCAGCTGCGCACCATGCCGGAGGGCAACCGAGGGTTGCTGGCGCTGCGCGTGCTGGGCATCTCGCACCTGCACCTGTCTCAAGGCGAGCTGGAGGTACTGCGTGAGTTTGAGCGCGAAGCCGGCGCGTGCCTGGAGACGGCGCCGACCAGCATACTGACGCGTGTGTTCTACAACGCCTCGCCGGCACTGCAGACCAGCGTGGCCAAGGAGCTGCTGCGGCGCGTCACGGCCGGTCAGGAGATTCACGTTGCGCCCTCGTGCATCAAGGCGCTGTTCGCCGGTCTGAAGCGGTCGTCAGTCAGGGAGATCCTGGCCGCGCCTGCCCTCCGCAGGGCTCTCGTCGATGGCTTGTTCAAGCAGGAGTACGTCGCCGAGTGGGACACTCTGCATGCGCGCCTAGTGCTACGCTGCCTGCAACAACTCAAGGTGCCGGTCGATGAGGTGGGTGCTGGTTGCGCGCACATGCGCGTTTTTTTTGGGTTTCCTTGTGGGTGCGTGTGTGCGTGGGGGGGGGGGGGGGTGTGTGTGTGTGTGCATGTTTTATTTACGTATGTGTGTTTGTTCATGTTGGCGTACTTCTGTGTGTGTGTGTCCGCGTGCATGTGTGCGCAACATACGACGGACATGCATCTCTCCACTCATGCTCAACATATGTGCTGCAAGAGGTCTTGCTCATGCCATTTAAACTCTGCAACGAAAAGAGATTCCACTTGCAGATGCTTTGGAGAAGACATGCAGGTTAGGGGTGCTGTGGCCATCTCCTTACGTTCATTGGCTCAATGGGGTTTATACATAATGCTCCTGCCATTTGATCTTGAGGTGCAAGTCCACTATAACGGTACACACTGTGATACCAATCCTGCATCAAAGGTCACCAACTGTGTACGATTATACCCACGAATGTACTTCAACTGGCTGTACCTGCCAGATATGGGACAGGTTGCCCTCAGGAAGGTGGCGGCCATGTTTTATGCGTAAACCCCATTGTACGGTGGCTAAATATGGTATGTTCTTACTCGGTAAGTGTGGTGCTTGGGACAACTCCTGGGCGAATGCTTTTTTTATCGGGCAACAGGCTACTGTCTGTGCTGGAAACTGAAATGCAACCCCTGAAAGAAGGAGTCGAAAGCGTTTCTGCCGTAACTCGTGAGTTTCACGGTTTTAACCAATCATCAGACAGCACCTTGGTGTATTGAGCGCTGTCACGATCAACCGCAACTCTCTCCATTTGTACTTGTACATGTGAATGTCCAGCAGCATTCGTAGCACTTTCCAGGGCGGCAAGGGCCGTGTAAGTTGAGGGCGCCAACTGTGCACATTGTTGAGTGGCCGCATGAGGGTACATTTGGGCACGTGCCGGTGTGTGTGTGTGTGTGTGTGTGTGTGTGTGTGTGTGTGTGTGTGTGTGTGCGTGCGTGCACGAGTTTGTGTTTACGTGTACATTCTTCAGTTCAAGCATGGCGACTTGCTCTTAAGCGTCTTCAGCGGTGGCTCCGGTGATCGTGTACCGGCGACTGATCTACCAGAGTTGTTGTCTGAGGCTGGAATAACCTTGACCAACTACCAGAGCGAGGTACGTGAAAGGAGTTCAACGTGTCCTCCTGAAATTCTGCTGTTGTGTGTGTGTGTGTGTGCGTGGGAGGGCTTGACAGTGCTGTGGCTGGTAGTGCTTGGCTAATGTTAGTGCTGCTACAGGCCGGGTGGAGCCGATCCGATTGGTCTGGCCAGGGTCGGACCAACTGTTTGGCCAGCACCGCATGTTTACTGTTAAGGAGGTTCTGTATTCACTGGTTTGAGGGAAAGACACGGGCGGGAAAAGTGAGAAAAGTCTGAAGAAAAAGATTGACTGTCACCACCAGGATCTAGGACTCGAGCCAGGGACCCTCACTTCTATACCCTTCATATCACCAAGAGTATATACCCCCCTAGTCAGGGGGCCAGGGGGGTTATTTTTGAAGTTTCGTTCCGGGTAAGAGGGCACCACGTTTTTTTCGATTTGAATGTCAAGTATCTTCAGAATGCTGCCAGATGGTATGCCATTCAATCAAAATTTCCATCGGGAAGGTCATACAATGAAGGTGGAAAGAATTGATGATGGTTGCCATGGCAACAAATCAGTTAACTCAAATTTCCAGGAGAACTATGCGATATTTTGACAAAATTCCTGCTGGATATAAACATATCCAATACGTATGACTAGTTGGCCAAGTTTGACTGAAAACAAATAAACGTCAGGGCCTCAAAGGTGAATTATAAAATCGGATCTACTGCAACTATACATTACTGTACATATGTAATTAAATATGCATGCATACACCGACAACTGTACAAATATATTGGTGACCACTGTACATGTGACATCTATAAAGCCTATTAGAAAAGAGTTAGAAATGAATAGAGCAGTCTGTGACCAATGGTGATCTAATGGATATACTGTAAATATACAAATTTTCGGCAGCTATTTAATTTCGGCTATATTCGGCACCGACCCAAAACGCCTAAATTAAAACGCCGATGAAAATTTTCACAGCATCTGTCGCACTATCATGCCCTCTACCCCACGCCGAAAATAAATCGCCGCCGAAATGTCAACAATCGTGAAGTGCCGAAATTTTGTATATTTACAGTACAATCATGTACATGTATGGCGAAGAGGAACATGTATGTACAGGCAGTGACGCAACACTATCTGCAAGGAATGCGATACAGCTAAGGAAGTGTGGCATGAACACATAACAGAGGACCACACAAGTGTTCAGGAAACAGAACAAAGGCAAGTCGTGCATTGCATTATCTGTGACTCTTCAAGCCCTGCCAGGTTGGCCAACTTGAAGTAGGCTCAGACTCAGCACGACTCTTCATAGTGCAGTTACTTGTATTAATCCGCATCCTCGTTTGCTATTGCTGCTGGCACAGTGTCCTCTTGGCAGTTAGAACATTCAACCACAGGACGATCATGCGTGCAGTTGCAGACATCAGTGCACAACATGTTATGGCGACGACATGAGCAACGTCCATCCTTGCAACCGCTTCTGCAACCACAACTTAGAAACTGAAGGAGAGCTTTGGGAGCAGGCGGGAGAGCAGTCCAGTGTGGCTCTAGCCTCTAGGTCGCCATCATCATTGACCCTCCACCCTATATTTTGATGAGGATCAAAACACACACACACACATTGACCTTGATACACGTTGCCTTGATAGGTTACACGGTCCCCGTCAGGGGAGAGGGGTGGAAGAGGCTGAGGAGCAGCACTCCTGATGGCGTACTAGATGGTGACGTAGTCGGAACTTCCTTTGGCAAGGGCACTCAAACGGGAAGTCGGCCCTTTCCGACACTGTCCTTCGTTTCGTGCGGTCGCACTTGTGTCTGGCCAAGCCGCTGCTGGACTTGAAACTCCGGTGACAGGTGCTGCACTGCGGAGTGACCAGGTTGCCAGGGTGCTCGATGTTGGGAGCAGGTCCGTGATCGCACCGATGGGTAGCCAATCCACCGGGGCTGCGGAACCAACGTTGGCAGAGACGACACTGGCAAGCGTCACCCTGATTACACACCGGTTTCTGCCGTTCTGCCAAGCATTTGTGACGCTTCTCATCTCATGGGCGAGAGAAGTACCGATCACATACTTGGCAATGGACATTGGGTGTGGGCGGCTCGGGCTCGAAACAGCGGTACATGCGGTGCCAGGGGGGCGAGAATCCGCCAGATCGTACCATCCCTCCACAGCATTCACACACACACACACACACACGCACCATATTTCAGATTGTATTGTTGCTTGAGAAACTTCTAAAAGTATTCCCGATACTGCCAGGACATGTTGATAACTAGTTAATTAGGATACCAGTGTCAACAACCATAGAGACTGTAAGTTAAATATATATATAATTATGACTGAACTCAATATAATTATGACTGTGTGGAATCTTACCTTGACCTTGCTGGTGTGGTTGGGGTATTTCCGGCTTCGCAACGAGGCATAACCGCCTTAGGGCTGCTTGATGATTGGCTCTGGCTGAGTGGTGTAATAAGGCATCCTTGCAGGGAGGTAGCTGGTCGGACTGCTGGTTTTTTAGGCAAAACAGCTCATGCCGGGCTTCGTTCACATGCTGGCACTTGGACGCCTTGTAGATCTGACAAGTGAACCTTTCTATGGCATCCAGAGTGGCTGGTGTTAAGGGTGTGAATGCACGTCCAAGCTCACACATAGCTATGCGTGCTGATTCACTGGCGGGACCATCACCACGGACAATGTTGAAGGCAGCACTTTTCCCACGGAAGGCAAACGCGCTGGTGGAATCGCTACCAGTGAACGCATGTAAGCCGGGCAGAGCATTGCAAACATCGGCACTGAGCTTCTCTGCAATAGCGGTCATGTTGACTGTACGCCACCAGCAACGTACACGGCATAACATAGCTAACAGAACAAGCAATGATGGCAACATCAGTATCTGGTGTTCTTATCAGAACGGTCTCATACCCACTGACAGCTGCATGTCTTGCATGAAGGAGCAGTTTGGTGTCAGCCTCTTCCTGGGTTGACAGCAACTCCTCCACAGCAGTAACACAGTAGACGCCATGCTTGCACCAGCCGACTTGACAATTATGCACTCTTGGCCCGCAGTGACAACCAGTTCCTTGCCTGGGGGCATCTTGTTCAGGTTGTCTGGGAGCTGCCACTGCACCAGCAAGAATGCCACAAGCTCCTCTTTGTTGCTACTACCTGATAGGTACTTAGAGAACTGCTTTGGCGTGCTCTGTTTCCCTCAACATTTTCCTCTTCGCCATACATACATACATACATACATACAGTTGTGGCAAGTGAAATCCGACACTTGCCATAGGGGACAGCGCCACAAATGGACACCAATGATGTAATGCACTGCACCTAATTTGTACTATACCCCCGTATGCATCCCGATCGAACAGATCGAAAGGTCGCAGCGTAGATACACACAGTTCACAAATATGGTACACATATTGAGTATTGGTATCCAATCCCCATTCATTTTTGCCAGCATCTTTTGAACCTTGACTGTGATCATGGTGATGAGTACGAGTTTTATCATCAGACAGATAAAGTTGTATGTAACACATGTACTGTACGTATGCGGGGCTGCAGACTGCATGGTGCAGTCCCTTATGCCAAGTGTCGGATTTCACTTGCCACAACTGTACATACATACATACATACATACATACATACATGTAGCGAATTCAAATCTTTACTTATAAAGAAGAGGCACCTGTGACGTGTGTGTGTGTGTGTGTGTGTGTGTGTGTGTGTGTGTGTGTGTGTGTGTGTGTGTGTCACGCTCCTTATAAAGAAGAGGCACCTGTGACGTGTGTGTGTATGTCACGCTGAAGCGCTGCGGAGCAGCGCTGCCCTGAGCACGCGAAGCGTGCGAACAGTGTAGCACAGTGTAGCTAGCGGCCGCAGAAGCACTGAGCACGCGAAGCGTGCGAATCGTGTAGCTAGCGGAAGCAGCCACAGAAGCACTGAGCACGCGAAGCGTTCGAATCGTGTAGCCACCACCACGTGCTGAGCACGCGAAGCGTGCGAACAGTGTAGGTGGTAGCGCTTATAGCAGACACGATCAGTACGAGTAGCAGTAGCAGCCGCGCGCAGAAGCACTGAGCACGCGAAGCGTGCGAATCATGTAGCCACCTAGCCTAGGCCATAGGTCTAGGTAGCACTAGCAGCCGCACAAGCGCTGCGGACCACGTGAACCGTTCTCTGCAAATAGAAACATCTGCAACAAAGGGATACAAAAGATCTGCACTGACTGCACTCTGCATCTGATCTGCAGTGAAGAGCGCATCGCACTTTTGTTCGTAAGTTTATGAATTTTTTGAGCCGCTTCATCCGCCACCAGGTGATGGACAACCCTGACCAGCCTCCCGAAGGCGTAACAGACGTCCCTCCTTCTCCTTCCAACCATGAAGAACCTTCCTCACCAGGACTTCAGCGGTCTGGCCACCACCACGTGCTGAGCAAGTGTGCTGTTGATGTACTTGCTTCACCCGCATGCCACATTCGGCCAGGCAACGCTGGCCTGGGGTGCTGCTAGTAAAGTATACAAACAAACAAACAATGTACATGTTTATCAATTAGATCACCATTGGTCACAGACTGATTCATTTCTAACTCTTTTCTAATAGGCTTTATAGATGTCACATGTACACTGGTCACCAATATTATTTGTACAGTTGTCGGTGTATGCATGCATATTTAATTACGTTTGTACAGTAATGTGTACTGGACAGGCAGAAAATTTCGTCGGTCAATAATTTCGTCCAACTGCAAAGAAAGGGAGTTCGTCCGGCTGTAAATTTCGTCCATGGATCATAAGAGTGTATTGAAAAGCTGGACAAATCGACATTCGTAATTAATTTAGTCCCAAAGCTCCTTGGACGAAAAAGACGAAATTAAATTCCAGACGAATATTTCTGCTTTGACAGTACAGTTGAACATCGATTATCCGCACATCGACTATCCGACCATTCGATTATCCGTAACAGTTTTTTTGGGCGCACGTGCCGTAGAGTACGCACTGTGCCTGTAGTGAGCCATT